GCATTTGCACATTTAAATTTTTCAAAGTAAATAACAATAAAGATTAGAAGGCAGACTGCATGGTAGGATATAAGGAACACAGCATAAATAGAAATGATTTTATGTTAAAAAAATTAAGAAGTTGATAGGCATTTATATGTGAGTACATAGAAGGGAGCAGAGGATGACCTGGATTGCTTCCTAGAATCTTAAGTTGAAATGTGGAGAGAGAATTAGTGTTAGTCAGAGAAAAATGGAATGACAGGGGTTTGGGAAAGTCTACCAGATAGGGTGAAGATTGTATATGGATGACTGAAAGCAGATGACTAGGGGAATTCAGCGGGTTTATGGAGGGAGGGACTGACTGGGAGAGGTTGGCGGGGACCAAGTCTTTCAGGAATTTTTTTCCCCCATTTGCATTGTTTGAATTTTATTTAATGAGCATTGGGGATCCTTGAAGGTTTAGGCATAGAAGTAAAAAGTTTAGGTTTAACTTTTAGGTCACCTGCACTGCAGTGTGGGCATGGATTGAAGAGGGGCAGATCTGGAGGCAGTATGGAAGCAGCTGGGAGGCTTCAAAGTGCACCTGAGAGAGGATAGATAAGAAGTGTCTGGAGTTCAGGTTATTAGCAATAGATGTGACTTAGAGACCAATTGGATTTGATAGTGGGTCAAGAGTGATGACACAATATCTGGAGTTAAGATATCTTCCAGTTTTAAAAATTATTAAATTAGGGCCTCTCTGGCGGTGGTTAAGATGCAAACTGTGAAGCTATCCTCAGCCACTGCAGCACGAGTTCGATTCCCGGCCAGCCAGGGAGCAACCCACATGGCGCAGCAGACCTCTCCTGCCTTGCCCGCTGCTCCCCTCAGCAGTGTACTTCAGTCACTCTGCCTGTTCTGTTCCCCACGCTGTCTCTGGTGAATCCTCTCACCCCTCGTGCCTCTGGCCTGTACCCCAGCTCTTGTATGCATAAATAAATAAATCTTTAAAAAAATTATTAAATTAACAAAAATAATAAAAGTTACCATGAGGGCTGTGGGAAACAGTTACAGTTATGACATTACCAGTAGGGTAAATTCATCTATCAGATCTTTGAAAGTATTACAGCAGCATGCAATAGAAGAGATAATAATATTAACCCCACCTTGGCTTGTTAATTCGTTTTGGGGAATATGAGTTAAAATGACTAAAATTTTTGTACTGTTTTCCCAGATTTAAAATCAATGCTATTTATTACAGAAAAATTGGAAACATTGTTTGTCTAACTGTTCCAACAACAGAGGAAAGTTAGATAGTTTTTTAATCTATTGATAGGGTGTAAATATTATACAGACCCTAAAAGTAAGAAAACCGTTCACCTGCGGGTGAGTCCGTAGAGAATGTGATAGGTAGACAGACAGACATACACATACACACTGGAATATTACTCAGTCAAAAAAGAAGAAAATCCTGCCATCTGTGGCAATGTGGATGAACTTGAGGACATTGTATTAAGTGAAAGTAAGGTAAAGAAAGTATTGTATAACCTCACTTATATGTGGATTCTAAAAAAAAAAAGGCAGACTCAGAAACAGAATAGATTTGGTGGTTGCTTGCAAGGGTAGGTGGTAGTGAATGAAGGTGGACAAAGGCTACAAACTTGCAGTTATAAGTTTTCAGGACCTAATATATAAGATGCTTACAATGTAAGATGGTGATGTAATACGGTTGAGGGAATCAGTACTGACCTGGCCAACTCTATGTACTCTAGACAACTTTAGAACAGGGATTAAAGAGAAGGGAAAGGAAGGGAATTTAAGTCTAGCCATGAGGGAGGAGACTATTGGAAAAGTAGTGTTACTACTAAGCCTCAAAATTTTTCATAATAACTGGATAACTCACATTTAAATAATTTTATTTTATTTTGGTATTTGATTACAAGTTCATAGGCTGGATCAAGAGGAAATAGGAGTTCTTAATTAGCAAGAATGTTTGAAGAAAAGTTGGATGTAAAAAAAAATCTGTTTGGGGGCCTCCCTGGTGGCGCAAGGGGTTAAATCTCAGCTCTATGAAGCAATTTGCAGCTACTGCAGCACTAGTTTGATCCCCAGCCAGGGACGTGACCCACATGGCGCAGCAGACCTCTTCTGTCTCACCTGCTGCTCCCCTCAGCAGTGTATTTTAGTAGATCTGCCTGTTCTCTTCTCCACTATGTCTCTGGTGAATCCTTTCACTCCCCGCACTTCCAGCCTGTACCCCAGTTCTTGTATGCATAAATAAATAAATCTTTAAAAAAAAAAAGTTCAGGCCACAGAAGTTTTGGACCCAAATTTTCACTGATCTTTTTACAGAAAAGTAGGCCATGGTGATGGTGGGTGCCAGGAAAACATCTAGAACCTGGTTTAGTTATGGAATTTTCTGAGATGAAATTATTTTGATCTGAAACATTGAAAATGGAGAAAAAGCAAACTATAAAAGCAATAGTTTGGGTATAGGCAATGTAAGTAGAGGAAAACAGCCTATAGATGAGTTAGATTTCCAAGGCATTAATTGAACTGAGTAGATGTCATAATTGGAGATGAAAAGATGATGGATGAGAGAAGGAGACATGTTGCTAGTCAGATTGATTCATGTCCTATTGGGTTCCCTAGAAGGGAGGGGGTTGTTATAGTCAGCTGGATACAAACTTTGCAGAGAATGCTGGAGACCAGGGACCTCTGTCAAAATAGGGTGACTAGGTGTGGCTGGTAGTGAGACTGGGCATGATGTAAATGACAGTGAGAGATCTGGCAATGGTGTGAATGGATGGGCCCACTGCTCTCAGCTGACCAGGTGGGTCCAAGGGGCACTTTGGGTTTGGAAAGAAAGTTGTGATAGTAATTAATGTACTTTACTTACAGAGCTGGTTCACGCTAATTAATTCACATGAGTCAACAGCCCGATGAAGTGGGTATCATTATCTGTTTTCACAGGTGAGAAAACTAAGCCTCAAAGAGATTAACCCTATGGTTCTCAGTTCTGGCTGTGTGTTAGAATTCCATGGGAGATCTTTCTAGAAATATTGAAGCTCAGGCTTCACCTCAGTGATTGTGTAATTGTTCCATGCCTCCACTATCCATGTTTTTTAAATGCTGTCCTGTCTCTTGTACACATCTAGGTTTGAGAACCATAGACTTAACAGCCTAGTGAAACTGAGTACCAGTATGTTAAAGACAAAACCTGAAACCTGGCCTTTTGCCTCTGAGCCCATGTGTTTGCCTTTTTTCCCTCTAAACCTTTCCCTTCTATTTCTTTCCTCATTACCAAACACAGCCTTTAGAATCCTGTATAGGAAGTGATGGTAGTGATATAGTGCCCAGTTAGGTTTTCATTTTCTACTCAGTTTCTAGGGAATAGGCTCTGATAGCAGTCACTTCTCTGGGCCTTTACAGATGTCATTTCTTGTGTCTCTTTGCTCCCTCTTCTTCCCTCTCCAATTTTCATCCTTCAGGCGAGGTTTGTTTCTCAGGCCTATGTCAGTTTGGGTTTATACACTGAAATGGACTCTTGCCAGTTTTTTTTAAGAGTATTTAGAAGAATAATGGATAGTTCACAGACTTGAACAAAATGAAAAGAAAGGTTAAATAACTATGGCACACATACAAAGTTCAAGAACAACAGAACCGCTTTCTCACTTTGGGGATTTCAGGAATAGGAATAGAGGACCATCTCTGTAGGATGGTGTCTTAGTTCCAACTATCTAAGTACCTGTTCATCTCTGCCTCACATTCAGTTCTGTAGAGAGATTAGTACAGAATAGGTTGCTGCCCCTGAGGTCAGGTAGCAAGTGTCCTGTGATGAGAAGTCCTGCAAGAGCTTCACTGGGCTAATTCCCCAATGGGCGAACTGCTGGGCAGACCCAAACAGGTTACTCATTAAAAAATCCTTTCCTGACAGCTCTCCTTACATGCAGGTCTGAGTCCCCTCCTTGGGCTCCAGTAGCTTTCCACTGCCACCCCATATACTGTAGGCCTTGAATCATGTCATTTTATTATATTGATAAGAAAAAACAAGTATACTCACTCTCTGTGTGAGTATATTGTCTCTCTGGGTTTTCTCTCGGGACTCAGGTTTCCTCCATATTCCAAAGATGTGCACATGAGGTTCATTGACATTTCAGTTGTCCCAGTTGGAGGTGTGTGGGGTGTGTGTTAGTGTGCCCTGTGATGGAAGGGCATCTTTTCAGTGTTGGGTCTTGCCGCGTACCATGACCTACCAGGATAGTCTCAGAGAGGGTTAGAAAATGAATGAATGAAGGTAAATTTTTGTTGAATATTAGAAGTGTTTTGGGTCTTGATTTAGAGGTTTGATACTGTTCTTGTGATCAAAAATATGTTGTAGAACTTAACTCTTATTTATTTAGCTGATGGTGAAATTGGTTCTGTTCCATGTTATTTTACTTAAAATTACAGTTTTTTTTTTTTAAAGATTTATTTATGCATACAAGAGCTGGGGTACAGGTCAGAGATGCGTGGGGGAGAGGGGGACGGTGAGAGGATTCACAAGAGACAGAGCAGGGAACAGAACAGGCAGACTGACTGAAATACACTGCTGAGGGGAGCAGCGGGCGAGACAGGAGAGGTCTGCTTTGCCATGTGGGTAGCTTCCTGGCCGGCTGGGGATCAAACTCATGCTGCAGAGGCTGTGGATTGCTTCACAGTGCGGTGCTTAACCCCTTGCACCACCAGGGAGGCCCTACAGTCACAGTTTTCAAGAACTTAATGACCAAGTTTGAGGACTTACTATACCATAAATGCCTGTTCTTCAAGCTGTGAGCCACAAGATGGCCTAGCAAATATCTCACTAATAGTAGCATTTGGTGAGTGTTTGGCGAAATTCCAGACAGACTTAAGTGCGAAAATACAAACTTGTGCTATACTCCTTTTCCAAAGTAGGGGTTCCATTGCTGCCACCTTGTAAGACCTGCCATCCAGTGGTATTTGACCCTCTGCCATTTCCACTATCTCCTTTCTCACTTCTTACCTCTTTTGCATCTTAGGTAATTGCTGGCTTCAACCGCCTTCGACAGGAACAGCGGGGCCTGGCATCCAAAGCAGCTGAGCTGGAGATGGAGCTGAATGAGCACAGGTAAGGAGCTGGGGAAAAGCAAATTCTGGGAGAGTCAGGTGGGCCATTTGTGAGGGTTGCTATCAGGGAAATGAGTTCTCAGATCCTACCTGGTCCTTCTGCAGCCTGGTGATTGATACACTGAAAGAGGTGGATGAAACCCGCAAATGCTACCGCATGGTTGGAGGAGTGCTGGTGGAGCGGACTGTCAAAGAGGTATTGCCTGCCTTGGAGAACAATAAAGAGCAGGTGAGCAAGAGTCCCCACGTAGAGACACTGGATAGCCAAGAGAGGAAAGAAGGAAGGAGAGGCCGGGGTCTGAGGAATTGTGCTGGAGACAGCATAAATGGGCTGTTAGCCTAGCTCTGTGCTAAGTCTAACTCCTAAGACAGGGAAAAAAGACTGCGTGCTTTTCTTCACAGACTCTTTGACCTGGCTGAGTTGGGGGAGGAGAGGCGGCTAGAGTGGTGTAGTCCATGGAAACCTGCATCCAGATCACCTGGAGAATTAATTTTTTAAAAAAATATTTATTTATTTATGCATACAAGAGTTGGGCATAGGCCAGAGATGCAGGGGGTGAGAGGATTCACCAGAAACAGAGTGGGGAACAGAACAGGCAGACTAACTGAAATACACTGCTGAGGGGAGCAGCGGGCGAGACAGGAGAGAGGTCTGCTTCACCATGTGGGTTGCTCCCTGGCCGGCGGGGATTGAACTCATGCTGCAGAGGCTTCGGATTGCTTCATGGTACAGTGCTTAACCCCTTGTGCTACCAGGGAGGCCCCTGGAGAATTAATTTAAAATGCATCTTATTGGAACACCGATTCAGATCTTTGGGGGTGGGACTCATAAAGTTACATTTTAAAAATAAGCAGTCCAGGGCCTCCCCTGGTGGCGCAGGCAGTTGAGTGCAATGCTGTGAAGCTGTCCGCAGCCTCTGCAGCATGGCTTCAATCCCAGCCAGCTGATGAGGGTCCCACATGACAGGGCATACTTCTCCTGTCTCACCCGCTGCTCCCCTCAGCAGTGTATTTCCTCAGTCTGCCTGTTCTGTTCCCCACTCTGTCTCTGGTGAATCCTCTCACCCTCCCGCAGATCTGGCCTGTGCCCTGGTTCTTGAATGAATGAATGAATGAATGAATGAATGAATGAATGAATAAATAAATAAATCTTTAAAAAAAAAAGGCAGTCCGGGTGATTTTTTTTTTTTTGTGCATTAAAGTTTATTTTTTTGTGTGCATTGTGTTTGGGGAAGAAAGCATTTCAGTGTCTGCGCTCTAATATTTGGGATAAGACGAGGTTAGAGTATCATCTCTCCTCTACCTCCCTAGCAGATTGTGAAGGGATTCCTGAAATCCTTATATAATCCTATTGTTTGCCTTTTAGATACAGAAGATCATTGAGACACTGACACAGCAGCTTCAGGCCAAGGGAAAAGAACTAAACGAATTCCGGGAAAAGCACAACATTCGTCTCATGGGGGAAGATGAGAAGCCAGCAGCCAAGGAAAACTCAGATGGGGCTGGGGCTAAGGCCAGCTCGGCTGGAGTCTTGGTCTCCTAGGGACCAAGACCTTTGTGTTTTTTTCTACCCAGATTCCATGTCTTCTAATTTCTCTTATTGTTATTATTATTATTTTCTCTGCTATTGTAATATTTTTTTGTTAAGTAAATGTTTTGGTCAGAACACTTAGCTCTAGCCTGACGCATTCTCACAGTATTAGAGGTGGGATTTGTGTGGGGCATGAAAGTGCATGTGAGCTGTGGGTTGGTTTGCCGTCAGGTTAATGACTCACAGTGTCAGAGTAGGTTTCATATTTTATCCTTTCTCTTGTAAAAAAGGGAGACTTACTGCCCTCTTCCAAAAAAAGATTCAAAGACAAATAGTGAAGTGCAGATTGACATTTAATGAGCGTTAAAACTGAGACAGATAGCTTTGGTGGTAATGCTATGAGTCTGCAACCAAACAGAGGCTTGAAGGGAAAAAAAAACTTAGCCAGGAGTTTGGTGGTGTATCTCGGCACTACTCTTTAAATAAAGAAGTCCAGGGTGCACACCTGTGGACAGCTTGTCCTGCCATCCTCACCAATACCGCCAACGAGGTAAAGTTGATCATTCCAAAGACAGGTCCGGTGGCCCATGCGTTTCAGGTGGCGATCTGCACAGGGGAAGTGGAACCACAGAAAAGGAGACTGGCCTGTTGAGTAAGGAAGGGTGGTGACTGAGACAATAGCACCTTGGAACCAATGGGACTCTTAAGACCAAAGTCTTGTCTATTTTTTTCTCCTCGATTTATGGGCCTCTTTGAAATGTGATGTTTTTCGTACTCCTTTAACTCTTGTCTACTAATTCTTCCTCTTCCCTACCCCATCATTCTGCCCTCTTTATTTCTATAGTCCTCGGGTTCTCCCATCTTCCCACGTTCCCCTCTACCATGAGGCTGGCTCTCACGGGTATCATAGACGTAGAGGTCATTGCAGACACTGTCTCTAGCTCTGGTCAGAGTTTCTCCACCAAACAGCACAGCAAAGGGCCCCACCACAGAACATGAGTGATGCCGGAGGCCCCGAGGCCCCTGCTGCGACCCCTGCCCACTGCTCACAAGCCTCGAAAGCTGTTCCATCAGATGGGGGGCAGCAGGTGTTTCCTCCTTGGGGGAGAAAGAAGGGACTGTTTGGAAGGGTTTGGGCATTGCAATTGCAGCCCCTTTTGTCCTGAGCCAGCTATGAGTAGACACTACCTTAATCTTTCCACGACTCCAGTGGCCAGCTACTTCTGATTCCGCTGAGTTGCACCCCCCAAAGAGCAACAGTTGGTGGCCAGGGTGGGGCCCTGGAGTTTGGAGCAGGGCAGCGCAGTGACCTGAACGGGAGGCTGTGTGGAAGCCTTCTTCCTTATAGCTGTGACATGCAGAAATCAAGCTTGAGTCGGGTTTTCTGCAAGACTTGTTTCCCCAGCCTTCTTGCTAAGTATGGAAAGGACAGGGCGGTATACAGAGAGGGAGGGTGATGCTATCCCAGACCTGAGGGTTTACTATCCTAGACCTGGCAGATGGGGGAAGGGGGGAGGGGCCGGCTGAGGATGTGGATACATAAAGTTAAGCTGTTCGGCCTCTGCTTTTCCAGATGAAGGGTAGATGAACAGCAGGCGAGTTTTGGGATGGGGGAGCCATACCAATATGTGCGGGCGCTGGGATCCAGCCTGAGCGTGTAGACGCTTCCGTAGTGACGCTGCGTGCGGGTCCCGCCCTCCCGGCCCGCCACGCGCAGCTCTCTGTCTGACAGGCGGGTGCAGGTGTGGCTGCTGAGGCCAGCCGGAGGGCAATTGCCAGGGGCAGCGGTCCAATCTTCCCATACCCCACGCTCGGTGTCCAGGGCGACCACTGTGGCCAGGCGGCGCGCCCCATCCCAGCCGCCCACCACGCAGAGCCAGCGGCCACCGACGGGTACCGCCTCGTGGTGGCTGCGCCCCGGCGCCCCCGGAGTTCCCACCCGCACAACCTGCCCCCCCGCCGGGTCGAAGACCACCGTGTCGCTGCTGGGCTCCCTGGCTCCTCCCTCCAGGAGCCCCCCCACCAGATAAAAGCGCTCCCGCAGTTCGGTGCACGAATGGAAGGCCCGCGCCAGCAGCGCATCCTGGGCCACCGGCCTCCAGGTCCACCCCCGGACCCCAGCCATGGCCCAGGAAGGCGGGCCGTGGGGCGGCGACCCGAGCTCCCAGACCTGGGCCTCCAGGTGCCACCTCCGAACGGCCCCGCCCTAAGCCCAGGCCCCCGGCTTAGCTCCGCGGTCGCGCAGCAACCTCTGCAGCAGCGCGACCGCCGCAAACGCAAGGTCGCAAAGTACCGATCACCATGGAGATGGGACACCTGGGCAACCACCGGATTCGCAGTGTAACCGGAGAATGGAGACCTGGGTGGCTACCGGAATCAGCGTCACCATGGAGACAGGAGCTGCTCGAGCCACATACAAATCCTGAGAGATTGTTAACTGTGGGGACGGCCAGTCCCCAGAAGGACCGCTGTCCTAAGCCGCGGGCTGACGTGGGAAGGTGCGGGGGCCTCTCTGCGAGGTGGGGAGGTTCTAATTCCTATTGATCTCCCCAGGGAGGAAACAACGGAGAGACGGGGAGGCAATGGACGTAGACTGTCGTGACGTGAGAGTCAGGTGACTTGGTTCTGGTCCCACCTATTCCCCCGACTGTCAAGGTGACCCGGCTCTCATTTCCAAAACGTGTGCTGGGTTTATTCTCGGGGCGCCCCCGGACTTGCCGGGTGAAGAGCACAGATCCCCGTGATAGGGAGGCTTTTCGCCGGAGGCCACTGGAGGGCAGCAGAGCTCAGGTTCTCGGACACACTGCGGTGGGGCTGTGACCTGGGTTGGGGAGTCAAGGAGCTTTTCCCAGGCACACTTGAGCCTGGGAATGTTTTCATTCCTGAACCCTAGGAAGAGGCATTCGTTTTTCATCTTTCCTCACGGCTCACACAACCCAAGGACACTGGGATACGTGGCATCTAAAATTCAGGATTAGGGGCAGAGAAAACTGACTCCTTCTCCACTTCCCTACATCTTTCTTTATTCCAGTCAGGTACATGGGTTTCTTCTTTAAAAAAAAAAATTATTTTATTTATTTATGCATACAAGAACTGGGGTACAGGCCAGAGGTGCAGGAGGTGAGAGGATTCACCAGAGACAGAGTGGGGAACAGAACAGGCAGACTGACTGAAATATACTGCTGAGGGGCGCAGTGGGCAAGTCAGGAGAGGTCTGCGCCATGTGGGTCACCTGCCTGGCTGGGGATCAAACTCGTACTACAGTGGCTGCTGACAGCTTCATAGTGCTGAGACTTAACCCCCTTGTACCACCAGGGAGGCTTCTTGGCTTTTTCTTAACTCTGTCCTTCAGGGCCACTGAGGAGAATGCAGAGAACTGACTAGTTCCACCACATGGGGAAACAGGCATGTTGATCTCAGCACAGCTGGGTGGGACATGAACAGAACCTCTGTCCCCCAATGTTGTGCTGGAAGCAGCAGTGATGACTGTGACTTTACCTTTAGTTTTTACACAAGAACTTGATCCTATTGTGCTGGAGAAATCGAAGGCCCAAGTGTTCAGGACTAAGTGTGGATGAACAATAATTCTGGAATCTAGTAGCGCTCCTCCCCATCCCCCTGCCCCTGCTGACCCCCATGGGAAAAGCGGGGCTTTCCTGTCCTGATCTTAACTATTTTTTTTTAATTTATTTATGCATACAAGAGCTGGGGTACAGGCTAGAGATGCGGGGGGGGCAGTGAGAGGATTCACAGAGACAGAGTGGGGAACAGAACAGGCAGACTGAGTGAAATACACTGCTGAGGGGAGCAGCGGGCAAGACAGGAGAGGGCTGCTGCGCCATGTGGGTTGCTCCTTGGCCTGTCCGGAATTGAACTTGTGCTGCAGAGGCTGCGGATAGCTTCATAGTGCTGTGCTTCACCCCTTGCACCATCAGGGAGACCCCCTGATCTGAACACTGTGTTCAGTGTTCAGTGGAAACACTGGGAAATGTTTGAGCAGGAAGGCAGAGACCTAAAGGTTACAGGACGTTCTCCACCTGTACCTTCCAGTTGAAACCCAGTGAGAGCTTGGTAAGTTCCTGTCCACCCAACTATAACTTTCTCTGAGTCTGGCAGAGAAGGTCCTCTTTTCCCAGATCATGTTAAAAAATCTAAAACATCACTAACTTCCAACATCCTTGGTTGATATCTTAAAGCTGGTCTCCCTAAGTCATCTGACTGGCTAACCTCCCAACAGCTGGATTCAGATCTGTCATACTCCTAGGATTTAGGCAGGAGTTGCCCGGAGGTGGGGTCATTTGGCTCATACTTTATTGGCCTATATGCCCATTTTAGGCTCTTGCTTTTGGCTAAGTCTTAGCTGTTCTGCCAGACTCATTTTCTTCCTCCCCTGATAGAACAGGGAACTCCCCACCCCAGGGGCCTTTCCAGCTCCTCTCCCAGCTTTGTTTTCTTCTCCTCCCAGTTTCCACTCTGACAGAGTTCTCAGCAGTTGGCATGCCACTTGAACATGGAGGCTGATCCTCACCTACCCCTTGGCCATACCCTCCTGCAGTCTACCCTCCTCCAGTTCTTTTTTTTTTAATAAGATTTTATTTATTTATTTATTTATTTATACAAGCACTGGGTACAGTCAGAAGTGCGGGAGGGTGAGAGGATTCACCAGAGCCAGAGCAGAGAATAGAACAGGCAGGCTGACGAAATACACTGCTGAGGGCAGCAGCGGGCATGGCAGGAGAGGTCTGTTGCACCATGTGGGACCCTTGCCCAGCGGCCTGGGATCGAACTGGCTCTGCAGAGGCTGCGGGCAGCTTCTCAGCCCAGCGCTCAACCGCTGCGCCACCAGGGGAGGCCCCACCTCCTCCAATTCTACCCAGTGACCAGAGGTAACATCCAGTGCTGCTCTAGAGACCCAGGGAAGGAGTTATTCATGATTCCAACCTCCCTGGTTAATCTGAATCCAGATTATGCTTTGGAGAGGCAGAAAAGAAATGAAGGAGGAGGAAAAGACAGAGAATGAGAAGGAAAGAAAGAAAACAAGCCAATATGCGCTTGTATGACTATACCACAGGGCAGCAGCTAAGCTGGTCCAGTACCCTGTGAATATCGTATGAGCTTGCTCTCTGTCAGTCATTTCATGGCAAGCAAGAATCCCTACAGCCCAGTTTCTCACTGTTAGACATCTGTCCCTGCACCAAATCAAGGCTTCCTTCTCTCAAACCTCTGTAAAACTCTCAAACCTCCGTAAAACTCTCAAACCTCCGTAAAACTTCTCTGTCCTTTGGCCCCAGTTTCTAGCCCTAAAACCATGCCTGGTTCTCGGTTGTGTTCAGTCCACACAGGAAGCCAACAAATGGGTCCTTGGGGTCTTATTCACACTCCAAAAACCCCTCAATTCTCTCTGCCTGTCTCTCAGGCTGTCCAACCTTCAATCCCTCACACTGTTGTCCTCTGACCTTTCTACATTTTCCCACAACTCATTCCAGCCAGTTGACTTCCTGGCCCCAACTCTGGCTATTTGCTCTCAACTTAACCAGAATAAGGACATGAACAAACAAGGTCAGATGGATGACCAGGAAAAGAAACAACAGGAGGCCAGCCCCCGAGAGCGCCTATAACTGAGCTGTAAGCTAAAATGTGTTTGGGCAGACGGTGGGTAGGTGTCCTGGGGTGGAGGTGAGAGTCAGTGAGTTAGAAGGTGGTAGGGAGGTGTGGTAAGGGGGAGAACTAGAATTTCTGAGGATGTTAGTGACATTCAGTAGGAAATAAAATGGGATGGCTGTAGAGTGATGGAAATTGAGGGCAGAAGAGTGAAATACCTACGTGGCCCAAGAAGTGGGTAAGTAGGCATGCAGAAATTTCTTTGTAGAGCTTTCAATCTGTTTCAGATTCTTTGTCTCTTTGAATTCCTCCTCTTTAATAACTCCCTCCCTCCCTTCCAATTTCCACTGTCTCATCATGCCTTGAGATTTATCTCTCATCATTTCTTTGTGTTTCTCTCTCTAAGTTTCTGTCTCTGTCTGTCTCTCTCCTGCTGAACACAGTCAGCCATCTAACTTTCTTGCAAGGAGCTCTGGAACTTTCTGGGGGTGGCCAGGCTATATTACTCTTTGGCTATATTCTAGGACTACAGAACCAATATAGGGTCCCTGGGCACAGTCATTGGGTATTGTTCACCAATGGGGCCTGAGTGGCCTTTCCAGGGAGCAGAATTCCCCACAGAAGACCTTGGAGCATAGAGACCTGAGCCCAGGTGGGAAATAGGTGATAAGAGAAATTAAACTCCAATCTATTCCTCTGCCCTTTGCTTACAGTGCATGGACCAGTGACCTCTGATATTGCTCAGGGTCTCAGGCCAGGCACTCTTTTTCTTTATGCCACTTCTAGAATTTAAGGAGAAATTAAGTTTCCAAAAGTCTTCAAGTGAGGCTGAGGGGGATTACTAGGGGTTCCTGCAGAAAAGCATGAAGTACAACTTAGGGAAGGGTGATGCTCAGCAGGGAGACAAGGGCCTGTCCTATTAGGCACCGAGCCCCGTATACCCACAGACTAGGACTTTCATCCCCTAGCCTCAGCCCAGAAGTCCCCAACCTCGCTGTGTCTGGGACTGAAAACAGATGTGGGGCAAGGTCAGTTTCAGAGTGCAATGGGAACAAGTCCTGCTGTGATGGGGCCTTGGGGAGGGGTTGTCTGGAACAAGAAGCAGCGGGGTATGAGCTTCCCTACAGCTGCACCACATGGACCAGAGCAAATACCCTCCCTGCTGAGTGCCCAGCATGCCAATGGAGCAGGCCATGCTGCAGGGCTGAGTGACTTGGGTCTTGAAGAAAGAAAGAAGGCAATTGGAGCTACAAGACAGAGAAGTGACAACTTCAAAAGAAAATCTGCCCTCAAATTGCAGAAAACTTCAGTCCCTGACAATTCCTGCCCCCTCCTGGGAGTCCTCTCTGCTTTTGCCCCTCTCCTTTATTTCCATTTTTTAAAAGACCTTTTATTTATTTATTTATTTTTGCATAGAAGAACTGAGGTGTAGGCCAGAGTTGCGGGGGGTGAGAGGATCCACCAGACACAGCGGGGAGCAGAGCAGGTAGATCCACTGAAATACACTGCTGAGGGGAGCAGTGGGAGAGACAGGAGAGGCCTGCTGCGCCATGTGTGGGTCAGCTCCCTGGCTGGGAATAGAACCCAGGCCGTTGAAGTGGGCAATCGCAGTGATATCACTGAGACTCAACCACTAGGCGCCCTGCCCCTTTCCTTTAATGTCTCCCTCAGGGTTCTTGCACCACATACCCTCTTCCCTCAGACCTCCCCCATCTATTTCCTAAGCTCCCCCCTCAACCCCATGTCTCTGTTTCCATCTGCTCTCCCATGTTCTACTCCATAGCTGTCCTGCCCTCCTCAGCACCCAGTCCAAGGGGCTGGTTGTAGGGCCTCGGAAAGCTTTCCCCTGTGAGGTCCAGTGGGTGGTGGCAGACCAATGGCTGGGAAGTAGCCATCTCAGCTGCAAGAGGAACCACACCTGCAGTATCTAGGCTGTTGCTTGAGATGCGTGCAAAGAGCAGCTGAGGCCCGGTGTTACTGAAGGGGTCCATGTGCTGCAAGTGCTGCAGACCAGGCTGGCTGCATAGGGCTGCCTCCATGTCTCTTGCAGGGGATTCTCAGGGAGCAGCCTGGCTCTTTCTGTGCTTGGGACAGAGATGAGAGCATGCAGGGGTTCTCACTAAAATTCATTCTCACCAGATTCTCAGGAATCTGCTAACCTTTGCTCCCCCCTCTTCCCTGCTGCTGCACCTTCTGCTGCTGCAATCACCACCTGGAAGAGTCTGATTTCCAAAGGGACTCCACCGCTCCTCTTAGACCATCCAGGACCCACTTCTAACCTTCTAAAAGTACTTTCCCATCCTGAGACACAGGATACCTATTTTCATGTGTGTTTACAGAAGTTTGAGGGAGCGCAAGGAGCACACGATAGTCTCTAGAGAAATGGCCCAAATGTGCCTTCTGTTCAGCTACCTCCTCCCCTGGGTGGCTCATTCCAGCTTCAGGGATCTCCAGGAACAAGTAAATCCAGCCCCTGAGCTCCAAGGGAAGTTGGGCAACAAGGAAGTGGGCTGTCCTCAAAGGCCAGGCTGGCACTGGGGGGGTCACAGGGTCTGCAGGACAGCAGGCTGGAACCACGTTGCATGTGGCACTCGTGGAATCTCCTGGAAGACAGGGTGCTTTTATCCTAGTTCTGGACACAGTGAAGCAGCAGCTGCTGCAGAGCCCAAGGCCTTACAAGGGAGGAGAAGTTGTGTTCTTTGTGGCAGTCCCTCCGCACTCCTCCAGGGAAGGAGCAGGAGGAGTGACCTTGAAGCTTCCACCTAAACTAGCCTTGGTTTTGAGTCCCACATTGGATTGAGTCCCATGTCAGTAATTTCCCACCACAGTGTCAATCAGGCCCCTAATAACTTTCTGTACAAGCTGCAGACACCAGGCAAAGAGCAGACCAGGAGTATGATAAGCTGACCAGGGTGGGAATGGATAGAAAATATCATGTCTGCACCGTATTTCCAGTGAGTTCCACTCTGATGCATTATTATTATCTGTTTTCCTCTGTCCCTATACCCAGGGTCTCCCCTTAGCCTTTGCCTCTGTTCTGACCTAGGATCTCACTGCAGACAAACAGGATGTTACTCATGCAAGCACTCTCTCAACCCCTCCTCCCCATCCTTGACCCAGCCTCCAACACCCCACCCAGTCCTTCCCACCCTGACCCCCTCTGGGCCTCCCCCTCACTTACCCTGACCCTCACTCTCACTCTTCTTCTCCCCCACATCACCCCACCCATCCTTGTCCCTCCCTGACTCACCTCCAAGTCCCATTGACACAAACAAAAATTTCAGCACAACCCACTCCAACCGGTTTGGCTTAGGTGTGCAGCCTGCCGTGAGGACAGAGATGGTTACCAGCGGATGCTTGGACACACGCAGCTAGGGAGCTCCTGCGCTGTGTGCAGAGATAGCCGCGAGCAGGGACACGGTCTGCACACACACAGGGTCCTGCGGGAAGGTGTGATAGAGGCACAGAGTATGTTATGAGAGTTTCCTGAGGGCAGTGTCTGTGTCTCCGTTCCCTCCCCACAACCTGGTGAAAGAGTAGCGCTTGCCGAATGTCTGTTGAATGAACTCAGGTGTGCAGGTGTGCAGGCAGTGATGTCCCTCTTACCAATGTCTGTGCTGGAGATGCCACCTTACCTTGAATTGCTCCCATTCTTAGGTCCCAGAATGCACATGGGAGAAGGGTGGGTCATGAGGCATGAGGGGAATGGGGGTTCAGATGGAAGAAAGAAACAAACCCAGGACACCAGCACTGGTCTGGAAACTCTTCCCTAATCCCTGGTTGGGATCTACCTTCCCTGGGTTCATCCCCAACGAGGGGAGGAGAGGCTAAGCATGAAGATATATACTCCAATAGCATGGCCCTTGTGAGGCAAACAGGACTGAGGGTATGGAGAGGCAGAGTCTTGGAGATGAGAGAAAGACCCTTCCCTCCAGTAAAGGCCTGGAGTACTCCCTAGTCACGCATTCCCTCTCCACCCAAGGGTGCTCTTAGTCTTACTTCAAGGTCACCCCTAGTGCTTACTAGCACCTGCACTTAGCCATGATAAAATACAGGATACCTCCTGGTCTGAAGAGGCCCTCTGGAAAGCTCTGCCTCCCTGCTGTGCTCCTTACGGCTCATATTTGGTAAGTAATTAGGGGTTCCGCCTCGGGGCTCACAGACTTCCCAATAGGTGGGGGGCATCTGTGAATGGAAAGGCTGAAGCTGTGTGGGCACTGGATGCCCACTGTGTGATCTAGCTGCCTTCCCACTCTGTACCTCAGTTTCTCCTGTGGTTTCCTGCACCAGGAGGGGTGAATCCGTGGGAAGGGAAGGAGCTCCTCTGAAACCAGGCGATAGGATCCAAGGTGTGATAATTATAATTATAACACAGGATGCTCCCCCTCCCATTCCCCCCCGGCCCTACCCCACCCGCCACAGCGGATCTCAAAGCCACATCGGGGTGGGGCTCTCCCCTGGCACAGGTGGGGACGTGAAGAGAGGAAGGGGTTCGCCAAGGTGGAGGTGGAGAGAAACAGGAGTTAGGGCATCTGGCCTTGCCCTTGAGGCTGCCCCATGACCTATGGGAAATAGCTCTGGAAGAAGAGCTCCCTGCCATGGTCATTGCTGAGCGCAGGGGGTCATGGGCCCCTGGCAGAGTTAAAGCCTGGGTCACAGCCCCCAAATCTAGGCAAATCAGGCAGGATCTCTGCTTCCCCGACCCTTCACCTTTTTAAACCAATATCCTTTCTATCACAAATTCAGGCCTTCACCAGAAGTGAATTCCATCCCCATGAAATGTGGGGACTGTCCTAGCCAGAGGACAAGCTTGTGAGACAAGCTCCACATTTGAGGAGCCCACGGACCACATGCAACTCGTGTCTGCCCTCCAGTGTCGCACCTCCACCGGGTCCACTGGCACACGGCCCGCTTCTATCAATGCCTCTCCACTTGAAACTTACAATTTAGTTAAGGAGATAAGATGCACACAAATTACGAGGACACAAGCTATAATAAAGGGTGGGCAGAGGCTGAGGAGAACAGAAGGGAGGAAGATTAATGTCAGGGAAGGCCCAGAAGGCTTCGTGAAGAAGTGGCGTTTGAGGTCAGTTTTGAAAGATGTGCTTGATTTGACAGGTAGAGCTGAAGAGAGGATATTAGATGTGAAATATTCCCCTCCCCCTTGCTGCTCTTGTTCTTCCTTCCTGCCTCTCCCCAGACAGTCCTGCTGCAAGATTCAACCCATGTCTTATTTCTTCTCTGGTTTCGGTCTCTGTATTTACCTGGTTTTCAAGCCCCAGTGTGTCAGGAATCTTGCCCCTAGCTTTCTGGAAATTTTCAGAGAGTTCAGGTTTCAGAGAGTTCAGTGCCCCTTTCTCCGCTAGCCTAGGTTGGTCACTTTCATACAATGTGGTAGTCACGTTCATGCATCCCAGAATGGAGATACCTGGTCTTCCAAGTATGGTTATACTTATAGGAATCTGCAGACAGATATTTGAAATCAAGATCGAGCTTGCAAAGTTCAGATTGTGGTCTTGCCTGCCGAACATGGGATAAATGAGCGAGGGCCGTCGGTACGGTGGGATGCATTCCCGCCGCTCCAGCAGTGCTGGTGCACTCTTGGGACTTGGCCAGGTAACAAGAAGATGTTAAAATTGGGAGAGGGCCTTGCCAGAGAGCCAGGAACCTGTGGAGCAAAGTCCTCGCTCAATCCCTTGGCTTCTGTATATGGGTGGGGTCAGGCGGTCACTTAAGCTCCTTCTCAGGGGTTTTTGAACTAGCTCCTGTTCAGGGTGTCTGAGTAAACCATGACTCCACCCAAGCTGTGTCTCCTCAGCAAGCACCTTCCCCTCTCTGGCCTGTTTCCTCATCTGAAGGGTGAGGAATCTGGGCCAGTTCTGACCTTCATCGACTCTGACTCCAGAGTTCAGCCCTTCAAGAGTCTGGGGAACGGGTCAGGCCTTGGGGGGGGGGGGGCTGGCTGGGATGTGGGATACTTGGGTTCCTTCCTCCCCAACAGGGCCTCGTCTATGGTCATCCTGGCCTGGTGCCCTACTGGGACCACTCAGGCCTTGCCCCTCACCTTCCTGTCTCTCCCTTCATACCCCCTTCCACACACTCCAAGGCAAAACCTGGAGCTGAGACGGGATCCCCCCCCTGGTCCTGCCCTCCCTCCCTGGCGCCCATTAGCCAGCCCAGGCCGTGGGGGCGGTGGCTGCGAGTCTCTGTGCCAGGCCCAGCCCCCGGAGACGCACCTGTTCTGACCTGCTGAGCAGGTTCCCAGGTTTCTGCCGTCGTTGTTGGCCACGGCGTGGGAAGCAGCTCTGGGGGAGCTCAGAGCTCCCGATCACGGCTTCTTGGGGGCAGCTACAGCTGGGTGGGTAGAACGGGGCCAGCTCCCCTAGTGGAGACCCCAGTGGGAGAGGCAGAGGCCTCGGTGGTCGAGGACTCCGTGACTTCCCGCCTTCTGGGTTGGTGCCCTCCCAGCTCTAGAGCCGGCTCCCAGGGAGAACGCGGTGGAACTTCAGAAACACTGGGCAGCCCTGTCTTTCAACTGATGGCCCTGTCCCTGGGAGCCGAGATGTGGGGGCCTGAGGCCTGGCTGCTGCTGCTGCTGCTCCTGGCGTCCTTTACAGGTAAGACTTACCTGAACCATCAGGACCCTCACTTGTCCCAGGGGGTGTCTCCTTGCTGTCCCCCACCCCATTCTTTTTCCTTTGACTCTGGACTGAAGAACCAATTTCTCTCCCACCCCCAAATGCCAGTGGTACCGAGTGCCAGGGAGGCTTTTTCCCTTCATATCCCCTTCCAGCCCCCAGGTCAGCTCACTATGTCTGTGGTCCCTACTATCTCTGCCAAAGCCTTGCCCTGGCTGGAGCTGGCTCTGGGAGAAGAGATACAGTGATTCTATGCAAGTGAGCAGGGAGGGGAACAGGGGCCCTTTCACCCCAGGGCTTCCTGGAGGTTCAGAAGTGCTGACTGGAACTGGGGCTGAGTCAGGGCTGAGCTGGTGTGTGCTGTCATCGTGGTGTAGGAAGGCTGATGCCGACAGTAGAGAGGGTGCTTCTATCTCTTGTCTCCCCAGTGTTCTAGAATCTAGGATGGACCACTTGCTGGGGGACTGTGGGGTCTGGAGCTCCTTTCACGCCGGCCCCCTTCCTGGGCCACTGTTGCCAGGTGGTGATAGGTATGACTTGGATGAGGTGGGGGTGTCTAGGGCAAGGCTCCTTCTGGACAGTGTGGTCTCCTTTTGTTCATCCCTGTCCCCCATTTTCTCAACTAGATGCCTCATGTCACTCCTGTCTAATGACTCCATAGCAGATATACGTGATATGAGCGAGAGGAAGTGTGTGTGTTTAGGAGTGTAGGCACACGCGAGCGAAGTGGGATTCCATAGGCTGTTCCTGGAAAGTAACTGAGAAATCTTTCTCCTTGGAATGACAGGGCCTAATCTGGAGAAGATAGTTGGATTCCCAGTACTAGGAGCAGTAGCGAGAGAGCCCCTGTTGTCCAGCCACCCGGCAGATCCCCACCTCTGTCCCCAGCTGAAGCTATTGGTGGAGTGAGGCTGAGGTATGGATGGCGGTGGATGTTCTTGCTCTGATCCTCTAACCACAGGATCAGAGGTCCAAAGCCTCCACCCTCTGCCCCCACAACTTCATCCCCACCTTTCACACTGCCCTGCTCACTTGCTCAGACCCAGAGGGTGGGGCTGGCTGGTTCTGGGCCTGGGTGCTTAGCTGTGCTTTTTCTGTGGGATCTACCCACACCTAAAGAATAGAACTGAGATGTCTCCGCACTTGGAAGGGATCAAAGAGCTCCCTCGTTTTATAGATGGGAAAACTGAGAGAAATAGGCAGGCAAGAGAGAGCCATAAGATGACCCAGTGTTGGAAGCACAACTGGGGCAGTGCTTTGGTCTCCTGAGCCTGGTTCATTAAAGGAAGGAGCCTCTACTGCGTGCGCTGACACAGCCAGGGCGCCCGATGCTGGAGATGCACTGGTGAGCCAGGTGCAGGCCCAATCTTCCTTTCTACTAAAGTTGTTCTTTCTTAGAGAAGCCCAGGGGAGGGAAGAAGGCCCCCTTATGGTTAGGGCGTCACCCTTGACCTTACCCAATGCCACGGAGAGCCGAGAGCCGCTGCTGCTCTCAAGTGCCTAGAGAGGTGGGTTATAGGAGAAGGTGGGACTATGGTGGTGGGGGGCCCTCTGAGAGTGGGAACTCAGACCCCAGAGTTGGATGGGTCCAACTCCACCGCCGTGACCACCCCCATTGTGGCCCTTCTGTGTGTGGACATCTCAGCCAGGGCTGGAGTATTTCTTGTCTCTGAAAAAGCCTCGGACTGGGAAGAGTCAGTATGGTGCTGGCCCCTTTTCTATATTCATTTGCCGGGTGATCTTGGACAACTGAGAAGGTAGACTTCAGCAGACCAAGAGGTGGGACCAGGTGTCTGCTTCCAGCTTTGAGGTTCTGTGGCTGTGATTGTGCAGCCCCTGACTGAGGGGGTGGCTGGGGCTCAAGGGAAGTGGTGGGCCTAGCTGTGCAGACAGGAGGGGAAAAGGTCCTGGGCCCATCTCTCAGTGGATACAGGGGCTGCCTCTGCCCCTGAAATACTGCAAATTAGTGCCCCCCACCCACACACACACACCAGTCCTGGGCCATTAGGGCTCTGAGCCGCAGGGGCCTGGCCCCACCCTGACAGGGAGAGGAGGCCAGGCTTGGGAGGCGCCACCACACCAGGGCTCTTTGTCTCTTCTTAATGGGATGAGTTTCCGGGTGAGGTCCCCTCCCCCATCTCCTGCCCCAGGGCTAAGGAGCCCCAATTTACGATACCCCTCCACTGGGATCCTTCTTCCAGCTCCCTATCTGGGTCCAATAGGGCTCTGCAGGACTGAGAATGGGGGCTCTCTGGGTTCAGAGGCTGAGGATCAACTTTCAGTCTGAGGTTAGTTTCCTAGAAAGGGAGGGGCCCCATCCCTGCTTTTCTACTCCTGTTTACAAAAGGGGGCAGGCCCTTTCCTGCAGGACCTACCCAAACCCAGGAAAGCCTGAAAGGGAGGCAGCTTCCCCGCCCCAGGTGAGAAAGCTGGGAGAATCCCAGGGAAGCCCTGTGGCCCCGCTGACCTTGGTCCCACCCTCATATTTCAGGGGGCTGGGCTAAGGGGACCCCAGGCCCAGAGATGGCAGTGAAGCACCACAGTAGAGTCCTTGGTCCCCGCCTCTAACAACAGCCTCAGGATCCTGGGGCTCTCCAGGCACAGTGATTGGGGTGCACGACTGTGGGGAGCAGGTCCAGTGAGGAGAGCATGCCTAGGTTTTCTAATCTCCCAATTGGTTATTGCTGCCGACAATGGTGGGGGCGGGGTGGAGCTGAGTCAGGAGAGACTGGAGCAGAGGAACTGGGTGCTGCATCTGGGAACAGAATCTGCAGTTCCGAGGTCAAGTTCAGAACCAGTCTCTTGGAGGAGGTCTAAAAGTGGTGGTTGGGATGACTTTCATGGGAGGGGGAACCTCTGGCTTCAAGAGCTTTTCCCATAGATTTTTGTTCCCCACCCTCTTGTCTTGAGAGCTGGGTTGAGGCTGTGATTTGGGGTGGGGCAGAGCCGGCCACACTGGGGCGGGGGTTGACTGCCAAGATGGCAGGGGTGGGGGCTAGGATCTCAGGAGTTTGGGAGAAGCTGAATTCTGGGTCTCCCACCCACAGAGTGGCTGTTGTGGTGACTCAGCCCGGCTCAGACTCTGGCTCCGGGGGGTTTAGGGGACTTATCTGTGCTGGGAGCTGTGTCTGGGCCGGAGCCGAGCAGGGGCTGCCTCAAGCCTGTCCTCCTCCATTGTTCTCATCTCCCTTTGTGACTGTGCTGGCCCCCCTCCCCAGACACTAATCTGTGGGTGGGCGCTTTGCCCGGACTGGGAAGCTCTCACTAAGCTGGGGGGCTTAGGGCAATGGGGGGTAAGTGAGGGAGGTGGATGAAGGCACAGGGAGAATCTCCAGGTTTTCACCCTTCCTCAGCACACCAAGGTTATGGGGGGGAACGGGGGAAGTAAAGGGGCTTGCCAGGTTGTTTATATCACCTGTCCTGAATGGGAGGCTCCAGTGCTCCCTCCCAGGTCTTTTCTTAGCCCTAACTGGCCCATATATTCCTGCTCTCTGGAGGAGTCTGTTGCTGTGGGTGAGGGGAGGCAGGAGTTAACAAAGGAGTGTGGGACCCTAGACAGCCTGGACCCCTCCCCCTAGCCTCAGGCAGGATTCCCCGCTTCCCACCAAACCCACACCAGACAACCCTTACCCCAGGCCTGGAGGAGAGCTGGTTTTTCTGGTGGTGGCAACAGCAAAGCCTGACAGAGATTCCCAGGGAGAGGCCTCCTTGGGGGGCCACAGGTGTTGGGGGCCCAAGGGAGTGGCTGGGGGTGGTGAGGAGGGTGGGAGTCCTTCTAGCTGGAACCTGAGGAGCAAGGGTAGAGAGAGCTTTTGTTTTGTTCTGTTGGGGAGCCCTTGATGGCAATTTCCCATCACCTGGGGGGACAGTGACCTCATCCCCAGGTACCTCCACCTGAGATGAATTTGCCCTGGAGTCTTGAGGCAAGGTGAGGAGGGATGCCTGGGCCACACTTAAGACACTATAGAGGCGAGGTGCAGAGCCACTGAACAAGGGCAGCAGACACGCGGAAGCCCAGAGAAACCAACATAAAAATATTTACTGTGTGTGCAGAGTTCCGGGGACAGGAATGCATGCCATGCACATGGAGCACGTGAGACACACGCGGACATGCACATGTTCATTCACACGCGCGTCAGTGCATAACTGTGCTGTGGATGCAGACAAGTGCACGGACTCATGTGGAGAGAGACATGAGCATATGTGCCAGACACCCCCATGTTCATGCGAGGAGACAGCTGATATGGATGTGAACCAGTGCTGTACTGGCCAAGTCCTCACTACAGATCGATCATACATTGAGACACAAATATCCTCACTTCTTCCTTACAGATTCACCATAGTACTCCCCCACCTCTTAAGCTCCTATAGGTACTAGCAGGGGTTATGGTGGAGGAGGGTCCTCCCCATGAAGAAAAATCTCCTTCCCCAAAGACACTGTTCTAAAAAAAAAGATTTATTTATGCGTACAGGAACTGGGGTATACCGGTGGCGCAGCGGTTGAACGCTGGGTTTCAAAGCAGCCCGCAGCCTCTGCAGCGCCGGTTTGATCCCGGGCCACCGAGTGAGGGTCCCACATGGCGCGCAGACCTCTCCTGCCGCCCACTACTCCCCTCAGCATGTACTTCGTCAGTCTGCCTGTTCTGTTCCCCGCTCTGGCTTTGGTGGATTCTCTCACCCTACCGCGCTTCTGACTGTACCCAGTGCTTGTATAAATAAATAAATAAATCTTTTTTAAAAAATTAAAAAAAAAAAAAAGAACTGGGGTTTAAGCTAGAGGTGTGGGGGGTGGGGTGCGAGGATTCACCAGAGACAGAGTGGGGAGCTGAACAGGCAGATCTACTGAAATACACTGCTGAGGGGAGCAGTGGGTGAGATAGGAGAGGTCTGCTGCGCCATGTGGGTTTGTTAGCTCCCTGGCTGGCTGGGGATCGAACTCGCGCTGCAATGGCTGGCAATAGCTTGATAGCACTGTCTTTAATAGTGCCACCAGGAAGGCCCCCCCCCCCAAAGACACTGTTATCTGTAGGTGCCAGTCTCAGTCTCCCCCCTGAGATCAGAGGTCGGGCCTCACACAGATAGGGGACCCAGGCACAGGTGGGGAGTGGCCAGCCATCCAAGTAGGAATGGAGAGCTTGTCTGGGAGCAGGTGGGGTACACAGAGGGCAGGGCCCCAAAAGAGGCCCGTGGGGGCCTGGCCAGGGTGGGGGAGGCCAGGGCAGGGATCCCGTCTGGCCAGTTGGGCCTGTTCTCTCCCTTGCGCAAGGTGGTGGCTGGTGGTGGCTGTGGCTGGGCCTGCCGCTGTTCTGCAGCATCTGAATCACCCGGGCTTCTGACCAGCGTCTTAGTGCTTCTGGAGGAGGGGTGGCAGGGTCTGCAGGAGGAGGGCCCAGCTAGCAGAGCCCACTGGCCTCAGCAAACAACTTGCAGCAAAGGGTCTGTGGGCTTGGTCTGGCCTGGCCACTACATGCCCGCAGGGTGACCTCACTGGCAGGCGGTATGTCTCTTTACTCCGATGACATCATCATGCTGACGCCGGGGCGGGCGGGCACTGGGTGGGGAGAAAGAGGAGGCAGACCTGGCCTACCTCAGCCTGGTAGTCTTGGCTTCTGGGTTCATTTAATCTAGGATAGGGATTCTAGAACCTGAATTCTCTTGTAGCCTGGTGTGTGTGTGTGTGTGTGTTGAAAGAGCATGTTAGCCTGGTGTGTGTGTGTATGTGTGTGTATGTGTGTTGAAAGAGCATGTTTCCCCAAAATAAACAGTGGATTGTTTAGGACAATGGGCACTGTAGGAGAGATCCAGGGTCACCTTCCTTTTTTACGGGGTTCCTCATTCTGCAAAGTTTATGCTTATTTCTTGGGAGTGGGAATCTTGGAATCACAGGCAGGAACATGGAAGACTAGGATTTAGGTATGAGCTGGTTACCCAACACCTGTTGTTAGAAGGTATTCTGGGGGAAATGTGAGTAATTAGTGGTGGTGATGGGCAGATGGTTGGCAAGTGTAGGGATGGGTATGGAAAACATGGCAGCATTTGAACAGAGATGTGCAGGGAAGCCCCTCTCTCAAGTTCACCTCTTTGGCAGCCTTGCTTCCTTGGTGCCAGGAGGGTGTGGAGGTACCTAAAAGGGTGTGAATGGCTAGCTGGACTCCTGGGCTGGGTTGGGTGGGACCAACATCAGCTTAGGCAGGTCAGGGCCCTGGTATCTGGCCCTGCAGGTCTGTCCCGTCCCATTCAGGCCCTCCCAGCTCCCAACGGGATCCTCCCTCTCTCCACCCCTGCCAGCAGGGCCACAGGACCCCCTTCCTCTGCCCAAGACTCTGAACACCCCTTGTCCACTGTGGTGGGGTTTCACCCTCCCTTCATACTTTCTCCCTCTGTTCCCTCCTGTTTCCCTGTATCCAGTTGCAAGTTGCTCCCATTGACAGTGAATCTAGCTAGCCAGTCCACCCCAAGGTTGCCATGCCCAACCATAAACTGCTTATTTCTCTTCCTCCTGCATGTTTCTCCCATCCATTCATCCATCCATCCATCCATCCATGCATCTATCCATCCATCCATCCATTCTCCCACTCATTCATTCATTCATTCATTCAATAAACATTAATTGAGCACCAATTATATACCAGGAATGCAGACCACATGCCACTGAGCACTAACTTAAAAACTGTCCACATGTAATTTGAGACCCAGTTTCTACTCTTGAGGTGCTCGGTCTGGTGGGAGAGGCAGACAAGAAAATAGCAAAGATCACCTATGGGAACAAGGACTGTGAAGGGGTAAAAGTCATGCACTGGGGGGACAGAAGGGCCGCTGACTTTGCCAGAGATGGGTGGAGGAGGGAGAACGCTAGGAGGAAGTGATGTCTAAGCGTGTCTTAGAGGATGAGTAGGAGTTATCCAGACAGTGACGAGTAGGCGCTACCAGACATAGGGAGGAGGGTGCTCCAGGTGGGGCACAGGGTGAGCCGGGGAGGGTAGAGGTGTGTGAAGTAGGGCCAGCGGCAGGGGCTGCAAACTGTAGGGTGTTGCTGGTTATGTATTCCCAGGAGAGGAACTCCTGCATCCCAGGGCACCTTTTCCCTGCCCCCTGTCCTAGATCTCACATGCCTTAGTCCTTGACTTCCACCCAAGAGCTTCCAACCAAGGCCCCACCTCCTTCCTAACTTAACCATCCTACAAACCTAGGTCTTGTCTTTGAGTTTCCTCTCTCTTATCTCTTTCTAGTCAGCGACCAAATCCTACCAAGTTTCCCCAGGAGCTGTGCCCTCCTCTCTACCCAGGCAGCCCCAGGGGCTCTGACCAGTTCTTGACCTAATCAGAATTCCTTTGCACAGTATGCAAGGTCCTGGGAAATTAGGGCCAACCAGGTTTTCTACTCCTGCTCAACACACAGCTGGTCCTTTCTGCTATATGAACCAGTTAGTTAGTCTCTCCACCTCTCCATCCCTGGAAGCTGCCTACCTGGGCCCCTCACCTGGAATGTCTTTCAAGCTCTCTTCTTGTCCTAATCCCACCCACCTAATGCATGAGGCCTTCCCCTGTGACCCAGGTCTGCAGTGACTGTTTCACCCCACAACTGGCCTGTCACATACCGCTGAGACTAAACCAGAAATCAGCACACGTGTCCATGTCTGTCTCTGAACAGATTTCAGATTCCATGAGGGTGACCAATGGGTCCTTATTTTCAGAGAAGGCTACAGGATAGATAGCCCTGAATGTACCCACTGCTCTTGTCAATGCAAGGAACATGCCCTCACCAGTGTCCCCACCCTACTTCTCTGACCCTGGCTCACCGTCGACCCTGTTGCTGTGTATCTCCCCTGACCTCATCTCTCTGATCTCTGACCTGGGGCCTTTCTGTCTTCAGTGACTTGCTCATTCCTGCCTCTGAGCCTCGGATCGTGCCATTCCTCCCACATAGAATACCTTCTCTCTGGGAATCCAGGTCTCTCATCTTCAAGCCATGAAAAGAATGTTTTGAAAGGCCTTCTGACATGGACCCTTCCCACACTCTGGGCCCTTCCCAGAACCAACTGCCCTGGTCCCCTGCTGTGGCTCCTGAAAGCATTTACTTTAACCCCCTGGGTAGGCTGAGCCTTCAGTGAAAGTCTGTCTGTGGCTTTCCCTACTTTTGTGCACATAAAATCCACTCCTTGCGAGGACCGTGAGTTTCTGAGGGCAGAGGCTGGGTCCCTGCTCCGGTTACAGCCTCCCACCCTTCAATTCTGGATGCCAGCCTGGGCTGGAACAGGGTGTGGCCTTTCCTTTGCTCCTCCGTGTGGCCTTAGGGAAGCACTTCCTCTCTCTGGGTCTCAGTTTCCTCATCTGTTAAATGGCGATAATAACGCCCACCTCTTGGGAATGTTCTGTGGGTCTAATGAGGTAATGGACTGAAAGCGCTTGGCAAGCACAAAATGCTACGAGTTCCGGCTGCCTTCGCGGTCATTATCACTATGAATAAGTGTCCCCAGCTCAGGCTGCATCCCTCACCCTGGCTGCTCCTATCTGCCCCCTGCAGGCCGGTGCCGGGCAGGCGAGCTGGAGACCTCAGACGTAGTGACCGTGGTGCTGGGCCAGGATGCCAAGCTGCCCTGCTTCTACCGAGGGGACCCGGGCGAGCAGGTGGGCCAGGTGGCGTGGGCACGAGTGGATGCGAGCGAGGGCGTCCGGGAGCTGGCGCTGCTGCACTCCAAATATGGGCTGCACGTGAGTGAGGCCTACGAGGGTCGCGTGGAGCAGCCGGCGCCCCCACGAAGCCCTCTGGATGGAGCGGTGCTGCTGCGCAATGCGGTGCAGGCGGATGAGGGCGAGTATGAGTGTCGCGTTAGCACCTTCCCTGCAGGCAGCTTCCAGGCGCGGCTGCGGCTTCGCGTTCTGGGTAAGTAGAGACCCACAGTGGGCAAGTCTGGGGGCGGCTGCTGTGTGTGCAGAGGCACTGGACCTTAGGGGGAGGCAGAAATGGATGAGTAGAGTTGGGATACTGTGGGATGTGGGATCCTGCCCATCTTCTCACCCAATCTGGAAATTCTCTGAGTGACCCCAACAGTTTGATCCTACAGTCCTGAGGAGAATGAACATATTAGGAAGCTCTTCCTCTCCTCTTATTGACCTGAAATCTCCCCCTCTGTTGCTTTCCCGCTATAGGAATATGGCACAGGCTTATTGATCCCTCTGCAACACAGCCATTCAAAGAACTGAGGACCTTTGTCACACCCCACCCAAAATGACTCTTCTCCAAGCTAAACCTCCTGTTTCTGCAACAGCTCCACTAAAGACACTCATTCAAAACTTCCTTTGCTTTGAGGGTTTATTTCATTTTTTAAAGATTTATTTATTTATCGTACAAGAACTGGGTACAGGCCAGAGGTGCGGGAAGTGGGGGAAGGTGAGAAGATTCACCAGAAACAGAGTGGGGAGCACAACAGGCAGATCTACTGAAATACACTGCTGAGGGGAGCAGAGGCAAGACAGGAGAGGTCTGCTGCACCATGTGGGTTAGCTCCCTGGTCTGGCATTGAACTTGTGCTGCAGTAGTTGTGGATAGCTGCAGATAGCTTCATAGTGCTGAGATTTAACCCCTTGTGCCACCAGGGAGGCCCTGCTTCGAGGATTTAAAACAGGGATGTATCAGAGCTATCAAGCTATCGCCAGTCACTGCAGCTTGAGCTGTATCCCCAGCTGGGGAGCTGACTCACATGATACAGCAGACCTCTCCTATCTGCCCGCTGCTCCTCTCAGCAGTAGACCCACCTGTTCTGCTCCCCAATCTGTCTCTGGTGAATCCACTCACCCCTGCACATCTGGCCTACACCCCAGTTCTTGTGTGCATAAATAAATAAAAATAATTCTTTTTTAAAAATTAAAAAAAACCCAACAGGGATCTAGATGGAGATATGCAGACCTGCTGTGGCCAGTGTGACCCTGTGTAACAGTGAGGCCCATCCTTGATTTGATCTGGACTATTAGTGAATTTGGTCTACAGTCACCTTCTAAACCACCACTGGACATTGTGGACACTCAGTCCATGGATGCCCAAGACCTCTGGTCAATTTCAGTCTTTTCTGGTCTGTGCTTGGGCTGTTAATGTTATGAAGATAAAAACAAAATTCTTTTTATAGTTTCCCTTTATCCACATGGAAGTTAGTAGCACCAGCCTCGGAGTGGGAAAACCTGAATGTGAATCCAGGCTTCTTCACTTATAGCTGAAGATGGGGAACCTCCCTGAACTTCTGTCTCCCCACCTGTGCAATGGGGATCACAATGCCTACCTCATTGGTGTGTTGCCAGGATTAAATGTTTGTAAAGTGTTTAGCATAATACTTAGCACATAATAAATGCTTAATAAATGGTGACTATTACTATTATTACATAGATGTTATCTGGTTAGGTTTTTTAATTACTTCATTATCTTTATTAAAAAATGACCCAGGCTCATTCTAAAATATTCAAACAATGGAGAAAGGCACCAAGTCAGCTGCAATTCTGCCATTCCTCTGGTGTCCTTATGGTGAAATAAGAAAGGGAGGCCTGAGGCTTTGCACCCGTACAAGGCTGAATGGGGTTGGGGTGGGGTCCTTGACAGTATTGTGCGGATGGTGACCCCCAGCTACCCTCCCTCTGCAGTGCCTCCCCTGCCCTCACTGAATCCTGGTCCAGCGCTAGAAGAGGGCCAGGGCCTGACTCTGGCAGCCTCCTGCACAGCAGAGGGCAGCCCGGCCCCCAGCGTGACTTGGGACACAGAGGTCAAGGGCACGACGTCCAGTCGTTCCTTCAAGCACTCCCGCTCAGCAGCTGTCACCTCAGAGTTCCACCTGGTGCCCAGTCGCAGCATGAACAGGCAGCCACTTACCTGCGTGGTGTCCCATCCTGGCCTGCTCCAGGACCAAAGGATCACCCACATCCTCCATGTGGCCTGTGAGTACTTGGATCCGGGCTAGGGAGCCCTTACGGTCTCCAAGAGGATGGGTAAGGTACCCAGAAACCCTGAACCATACCAGTCTGGCCAGCCTGGGTCCCGGGGACCACACTGTATGGCTAAGAGAGCATAGACCCAAGGTAAAAGACTTGAAGCCCATCCCACATGACTGTGGCAAATCACCTAGACTCCTCTGACCCTCAGTGTCCTTCTCTTCATAAAGGAATTTGTCCTGTTTCACGTGGTTATTGGGGAATCAAATATAAACATGGGATTATAAACACTTTGTAAAATACAGTTTAGGATTTGAAGACAGATAGACATGGGACAAGCTCTTCTTCTGCTTGTTATTGGTGTTACTCAGTCTTGGTGGAGGCTTCATTTTCTTCATCAACAGAATGAGTATAATTAGACCAACTTTACAGGGTTTTGATGGGAATTAGGAGCCACGAATGAGGGCATGTTACATGGGGCTTTGTACACAGAAGGTGCTCGTGAATGGGAGACACTGTCTTCCCAGCATAGACATTGAGCCTCTGGGGGTAGCGCCAGATGCCCAGCATTTGGCACAATGTAGGTCTCCAACCCATATGTGTTAAAGAGATGAATCAACTAGTAAGGTTATTAAGCCTTTGGAGAATCAGGGAATCTTTACCGTGTTCTTATGCCTAGTACTCTGCTAGGGACAGCGTGGGACTCAATGTGCAATGCGTGGCTATGCCGGGGGACATCCAGGCTTACTGCATGGGCAAACCCATGTGGACTCTGAGCTCAAGAGGGAAGGGGGCCTCAGCAAGGTGGGGCTAGGCCAGGTTTGGCAGCAGGAGTGAAGGGGAGGGCCTGTTCTAGGCAGGGTGGGGCATGGGGTGGGGGCCTTTGAGAAAAGCAGGATCAAAGGCATTGTTCCCATTCTTTCTCTAACCACCTTCTTCTAGTCCTTGCTGAGGCCTCCGTGAGGGGACTTGAAGACCAGAAGCAGTGGCAAGTGGGCAAAGAAGGAGCCACACTCAAGTGTCTGAGTGAAGGGCAGCCTCCGCCCACATACAACTGGACACGGTGAGGACTTGGCCTGGGGGAGACGGAGCTTGGAACCAGGGTTCTTCCCTCCCATGCCAGCATATACTCATTATGGACTGGGACAATATATTTTGAACCTTAAATAAATTCAGGTCACGTGTTCAGACCAACACAAGAATGTGCATGGTCACCAAATATTATTATTGGCTTGTATCAGCAAGTCTAGACTATGTGGTCACTGGTAGGGAGTAAGCTAATAAATCTTTGGCTTTCCCCTCTGCCTTTTAAATTAGGAACTATAGCACAGTATTTAAATATTGACGTTTTAGATATATAAGTAAGTGTTTAATGTGGATAAGAAAAAAAGAGTGAGTTGACTGTCACAGTTGTTAAAGCAACACCCTAAAACCACCACAGTGCTGCCAGCATCTCCTAGGAACCTGATCACCTCCACCAGTGGCCTCCAGGAGACCTCAGCTTTTCCCAGGATCTGAGATGCTGGGAGAATCAGAGAGGGGTCAGAGGCACATGTGTGTGGGCCCATGACAGCCATGTTCTCCCATGTGAGCGATGAGCTGTGCATGTGGCCTTGTGCCTGGACTGTGTGCCTGCCATGTATCATGGATGTCAGGGCTGTGGTCACATTTTCCAAGTACATCTGAGTCCAGCTAGGCATGAGTGTCCCGTGGTGTGCGTTTTATATGTCTGTCTGGTACCCAGTACAGGATGACGGGTTGCATGTGGGATGGCACGCATGTGGATCTTCCCTGAATGTGTGGGGGGGGTGCCCGGGTCAGGCTGGGCAGCCTGGAGAAAGGGCCCCTGCCCAGACCTGCCTAGGGGAGGGAGGGGCACCGTGGGAACAGCCGGTGGCAATGGGTGACGTCATTGGGAGGGGGATAGAGAGCTGCCTGGGCACGTTGGGTGGTGGCAGCCTCAGCCTGCCTCAGCCAGCACCCAGCAGCTTCCCTGTCCTCCAGGCTGGACGGGCCTCTGCCCAGTGGGGTTCGAGCAGAAGGGGACACCCTGGGCTTTCCCCCACTGACCACTGAGCACAGCGGCACCTATGTCTGCCACGTCAGCAATGAGCTATCCTCTAGAGATTCTCAGGTCACTGTGGATGTTGTTGGTAAGCACTGGGGGTGAAGATAGGGATGGGTTGGGAGTGGGGGCAAGGGCCTGGTGGGGGGCAGGACCGAGAAAGTGAATTGGGAAAGCATTTATTTGGAGGGGGCTGGGCCTTGTGTCCTTTGCAGAGGGTCAGAGGGCTTGGGATGGATTCTGTGAGGTCAATGGGTGAGTGTGCGGGGGGACTGTGGGGTCTGTGGTGGGTTAGGGATCTGGCATTGCCTCAGACAATGCTGTCTCCTGCAGATCCTCAGGATTCCCATGTGCAGCAGTTGGACCTGGTGTCAGCCTCTGTGGTGGTGGTGGGCGTCATTGCTGCACTCCTGTTCTGCCTCCTGGTGGTGGTGATTGTGCTCATGTCCCGATACCATCGGCGCAAGGCCCAGCAGATGACCCAGAAATAGTGAGTCCTGCCATTGCTGGGCCAGCAAAGCTACTCTGGGCAGAAGAGGAGGCAACTGGGAGGTGGGCCAGCGCCAAGGGGAGTGAGGAGACTGGGGGTCTGGCATCTGGGGGACTTCTGGACCTGTCTGGGTGAAGTTTTTTTGGGAGGAGAGAAGGTGCTTAGAGCCTACACCATAGGAAGTGAGGAGAATCAACTGCCTGAGAGGGTCTGATCCAGATCAGTTACCACCAAGTGCACACGCATGTGTGCATGTGCACATGCACACGAACTCCTCAGCCACAGTGCCACCTGTAGCACATAGCAACACCCACAACTTTGCTCAGGCTCATGGGTTGGCCAGGTAAGTCTCCCCAGGGGAGGCTCCCGCTGCACTCAGCTCCTGACAAAGACATGTCTTTCCAGTGAGGAGGAGCTGACCCTGACCAGGGAAAACTCTATCCGGAGACTGCACTCCCATCACTCAGATCCCAGGAGCCAGGTGTGTGCCAAGGTTGGATGCCTTCATGGGTTGGGGCCCCCTTGCAAACCAGGAGCACAGCCCCACCAGGTCTGGCGCTGACGCATAGCTGGGATTGGGTAGGGGGTGGAATTGGGGGTGCAGAGCTGCTTGGGTCTGCTGGGGCTCCCCTCACCCCAACGCTGGCCTGGGGGCTGCTCTGGGAAGCCACCATCAATATTGGTTGCAGTGTGGGGTTACGGGGAGGGATGTGGGGGAATGATGAGGTTTGTGTCAAGGAGAGAATGGATGTGTCGGGTGGGAGGGGGGAGGGTAGTTTGGGAGGAAGAGGTGGAAGACAGAGGTGAGGGGGCTGAGGAGAGGAGGCTGAGCCCTATTCTAACTTCTCCCCATGTCCGGGCCCTACAGCCGGAGGAGAGTGTAGGGCTGAGAGCCGAGGGCCACCCTGATAGTCTCAAGGACAACAGTAGCTGCTCTGTGATGGTGAGGCCCCCGGCCCCACCGGTGTCCCCACAAGTCTCCTCAGGCCACTCTCTTGATCCCAGATGTGGTGGTCTGCAGCCCCTTGACCTGTCCCTTTCATCACAACCCTGGCTCGCACTGCCCAGCCCCACACCTCTGCTATGCCATGGTCCTCCCATCTCCCCTTGCCCCTGGCTAACACTCCTGACCCCTGGTCTCCGAACCCTTTACCTCTGAACAACCATGACCCTTACTGGGCCTAACCTCTCACCCCTTGTGTCCCATGGCCCCGTCAGATCTGGCTACCCCGCCTTGTCCCTGACCTGTCCTCTATCCTTGGTCCCCAGAGTGAAGAGCCAGAGGGTCGCAGCTACTCCACGCTGACCACCGTGCGAGAGATTGAAACGCAGACAGAGCTGCTGTCTCCAGGCTCTGGGCGGACAGATGAAGAGGAAGACCGGGATGAAGGCATCAAACAGGCCATGAATCATTTTGTTCAGGAGAATGGGACCCTTCGGGCCAAGCCCACGGGCAATGGCATCTACATCAATGGGCGCGGGCACCTGGTCTGACCCAGGCCTACCTCCCTCCCTGGCTCCTTTTGCCGACACTGTGGATTTCCGCTCATCTCGGGGAGGAGGGGAGCCTCCCTAAACATCCTATTGCTTGAGGAAGATGCTCCCCATCCCCACTGACTGCTCGACCTTTTTCTCCAACCCTTCTGTTCAGTGATGGAAGGGCTCCCCTGGCTGAGTCCCTCCCATGTGTGTGCAGGTCACTGTGTATGCCTGTGGTATGTGAGTGTCGCTGGCTGTGTGTGTGTGGAGGGGTGAGTGTGCCGTGGTGTGTGTCAGAGTCCAGTGAACTGTGCATGTGAGCCATCTGATGCTGGTGGCTGGGGAACAACGTGGGACTGGTTTGTGTGTGGCGTGGCCGAGCGTGTGTGGTGTGGCTGTGTGACCTCTGCCTGAAACGCAGGTGTTTTCCTCAGACCCCAGAGCAGTATTAATAATGCAGAGGTTGGAGGAGAGAGGTGGAGACTATGGGCCAGACCCAGGTTGCAGGCAGAGCTGGAGCTGGAATCTGGCCTCCTGAGTGGGGAGCGGGGCTCCCACCACCCAGGGGCATTGGGGTGAGTGTGAAGCAGCCCTAAGGGTTCTGCCAGAGGCTGGAACTGTTACAGAAGAAACCCTCTGCCCTCTGGTGGCCTTGGGACCTGCTGCATGTACATATTTTTTGTAAATAAACCTCCACAGGGGAGCTCTTTAAGATATACTGCTCCAGATCTTTCAATAAGAGAAGGAAAAAAACTAAAACAAACAAACAAACAAACAAAAAAACTTGTGATTTATCTGGAGTACTGAAAGTCGAGCCAACACAGGACTTTGGCGCAGCCAGAGCTTGCTTAGATCCCACCCAGGGGCTTGATTCCTGGTTGAGAAAGATGCTGTTCTAAGGCTCCTTAATCTAGGCAGCCTCTTCGGAGGGATCCAGAAAGTTGGTGGATCAGAACCATGGGTGTGAGACTGGTTGTTGGCTAAGGGACGGTAGGTTGAATCCTTGACCCTGCTGTTCCTTAACACTCCCCCTGACCTCATCTCTTTACTCTGTGGTATCCACCGTTGTTTGTAGTCCCTTGGGAGTTGCTGGAACTGGGTGGCAAGGGGTCCTGCTTGAGTTGTGGTGTAGGGAGAGAGAAGTGGTGATTACGGACATTGGGAGGGTGGGCGTTCATGAAGGTGAAGGAGCTGTTGGGGGCAAGAACGTCTCCTTTCCTACAGAGGTTCTGGGTCACTAACTCAGGCTATTCTGGCAATTTCTCTGGGTGGGCTGGTACTTGAGAAGGCCCATTTTTGCCTAGCCCAGCCAAATACACTCCGTCAGCATCCCTAGGCTTAGTGCCCAAATCCTGCTTGGCCTGAAAACTGCTGTATTTTTGGACCAAAGGAGAGATTCCCATTCCTGGATCCCTGGCCAGCCCAGGGCTTTGGAGGGGCAGCCTGGAGATCCTGGGTACTGGTGTGTACATTTTGTGTAAATATGTGCATATTTGTACATAAAATGATACTCTGTTTTTAAATAAACAGATAAAACCTGTTTTGCCTGGTTCCTGTCTTGCCCTCTGAACTGTGTGAGCCCTGAACCCCTGGACTCTTGTCTTAGTGTTATAGAGCAACCCCGATATTAAATGGGTTCCTGGCTGTGGGTCCTCACCCGCGCGCTTTAAAGGGACTTATGAATACTCTACTACACTCACACACAAAAGGTTAATAAAAGGTTTATTTACAAGAGAAAAGGAAATAAGGAAAATGTACAACTCAGGGAGAAAATAGGGAAATAAAATCTTTAATGCGTCCTACCCAATCCGCCGACCTGGAAACCCAAAGTCACTCTCAGAGCTGGCCGGACACTGCGAGCTGGTGGAGAGCCAAAATGGGGGCCCCCAAAGCCCACGTGTCTGCCTTTTATATCCACCTGGCTGCTTAACCCCACCCTCAGGTCCCAGCCACCTTCCCTTTGGTGGTGATGGGATTTGGAGTTCCCAGTGTCTTTGGCTTTGGCCTGGGGTGGGGGGTGGAGTCCACAAAGCCTGTATGGAATTAGCTTTAGGACATCCTTTTCCCCCTAACAATTGGGTCCCAGGTTGGGAGCAGTTTGGGTGCCAGGGACTGGGAGAGAAAAGGGAAAGACATGGTCCCATGAGAGCTTCAGCTGCCCCAAGGGCCTCCAGGTAGGAAAATGGATCCACGAGCCCCTCCCAGGACAGCCAGGACCTTTGCATGATGGTCAACCCTTATCCACCCCCACCTGCATTTCAGGTGGATAAAGGGCAGCGGGGGACACAGTAGCACCTGTGTTTTACCGAAAAAGAAACGAAGCTCAACTGACTTCCACAGAACGTCAGTTGAGGATTTAAGACCGTCTATTTTCTTCTGCCTTCGTTTTCATACATGTGGAAACATCTCAATAAAGCAACGGACTCGGCTGAATCAAGGTCCATCTGGGCGGCCTCCCTCAAGGTGTGCCTGGCATGGCCCTGTGACACTCCACCCCCCTGCCCCCCAGCCAGTATCTGGTCTCCAGCTTGAACCCGAATTCTGTTCTGTTCAGTGTCGTCACCTGCTTACGCCCCAGGCACCATCACTCCACCCTGGGGCTCTGACGTTCCCTTCCCTTGGCCAATAGTCGCTGTTCCAGCGACGGTGAGGGTGTGCATGTCGGCTACCTCCCCCACCCCTGTGGCTGCAAAGATGCTCTAACAGGAAGTGGGTTTGAGAAGTTGCACAGCTTCCTGCCCCCTGCACCCCCCCTCGCTGGGCTGTGTAGCGAAGAGTGAGTGCCAGGCCGGGCCACGAGACAGCTTCTTGCCAGGGTCCTGGTAGCTTCCTCTTGCACAGCCACTTCCGTGTGGTCGGGGACCCAGAGGCCAGAGTCGCTATCCGTTGCCCAGGTCACCCTCCACCCCCAGTTCAGAGCCCTGCCCCCCTGGGGCTGGGCCAAGCCCAAAGGCTGCCTGGGGCTTACATGGGGGACTGGTAGGGTAAAGGTCTTGGGGGACCGAGGTGGCTGGGCCTGAGCCCTGGGGCTCCGGCCATGAAGTCTCGGCAGAAGGGAAAGAAGAAAGGCAGTTCGAAGGAGCGGGTGTTTGGGTGCGACTTGCAGGAGCACCTGCAGCACTCCGGCCTGGAGGGTAAGGAGCCACCCCAGAGGTGTTGGTGGGTGGGTGGGGAGGTGCAGAGTGTTCCTAGTTCAAGGACAGATGCGGCTTTTGCTGTTCCTGGGGCAGAGGTAATGGCTTGGGTTCACCGTCTAGGAGGTTGATGAGTAGGCAAGGCAGGAAATACGGTTTGGTGAAGAAGATAGGGTGGCTCCCTTGTGTAACTGCTGGGTTGGGAGACTGAGGAGTGAGGATGGCACTCTGGGGGCATCTCAGGTGAGGACAGAGAGATTGGAGAGCCAGGAGAGGTAGAGGAAGCAGAGTGTAGGGATGATACTGGGTCAGGAGAAAGAGATTGTGGGACAGGGTCAGGAGATGAGTGGCTGAGGGGCTATGATGATCCTTGGATGAAGGAACCCCGGAGAGCAAGAAAAAGGCACTTAGGGAGGATGGAGGTTTCTAGTTGGAGGAGAGCACCCAGGGATAAAGTTCTTGGGCTCTGACCCAGCCACAGGCCAAGATGTGGGGTAGGGAGAGACCCTGCCCCTGTGACTCCTTGGTCCCCTTCCTTACAAAAGAGAAAAACATTCAAAGTAGAGGGCGAGGATTGAAGCTACTGAAATGGGGAACCCCCAGACAGTCACTGATTTGAAGATGGGTGGGGCACAAAGGAAGGTAGGTGAGGGGTGGTCTGTGGAGTTCACGCAGCTCGTCCAAGTTACCTGGGCTGGGGGGTGTCTGGAAGCCAGCAGGACCAAGCACAATGACCAGGCTCCCCGCTGTGCCTGACCTGGAGTAGCCAAAAAAAGTTGATAATATGATTTGAAATTGGACACAGGTTGCCCAGTCCAGCTTGTTTGTGGCACTTTTGAGCGCCTCCCAAAGAAGGGCACGATCTCTCCCAACCCCCACCCAATCTGTCATTTCCTCTTTGTTCTCTTGTACTCAAGGCCTGAGGAGGGAGGGTGCTGGTGGTTCCCAGCTCATTTCCTGCTAGAGGCTCCGCCTCTGTGTCCCCAGAGAACTCCTTCCCTTTTTTCCTCCCCTAGGGGCCCCCATCTTCATCGGCCTCAGTTAAGGGAAAGCCCAGACCCCAAGCAAGAGTGTCAAGCAGCTAAGTCTTCTTTGTGCCTTTCTCCCATAACTGGGTAGAGCTTTTCTCAAGAGATTCCGCTAAAGAAAGATGGTCTTGGTTGAGGATCACGTGGCTTCACTGGGGTTGGTGCTCTCCCATTCTCTCCCATATCCTCCATTCAGTCTCCTCATGGGCCCACCCACCCTCTTCCCTGTGGCACCTTTGCCAATCCCATGTTGGCATAGCCAAGCCAGACTCCACTCTAGGAACACCCCTTTCTTCTGTCTGCATTTCTGCATGTTTTCTTTTAGAGGGGGACACCTGGTTGCTGGGTCCTGATCCTAATGTATCCAGAGGGAGTGGGAAACACATCCTGCCCACACCAGCACCTCATCTGAGTCCAAGTGGGGACAGATCCTGCACACCTGAGGATAGAGCCCACCCTCCTTGCTATCCCCAGCTCCTTAGGGCACAGAAACAGTGAGCGAAAAGACAGTGTCTGGTGGTGGCTTCTCCCTTTAATCCAACACCAGCAGGAATGAAAGCCAAGCCAGTGGAGATTTGTGATTCGGTTAGTTTATCCAGTTATCCTGGACCCATCCTTATACCCTTGCTCTAGCTCACCATCATATCCCAGCTCTTAGCCCTGGGTGGGTCTCTTCCTCCTGAGCCATGTATGTGTTGAGTTCTACTTTTCCTTCTCTTTATCTCTTTGATACCCTGTTTGGGTTTCTGATTCTCTAGGTCCCTAAAATTGGGACCCGCCTCTGTGGCCCACCCACCCTCTTTTTTTTTTTTTTTTAAGATTTATTTATTTATTTATTTATTTATACAAGAACCAGGGTACAGGCCAGATGCGTGGGAGGGTGAGAGGATTCACCAGAGACAGAGTGGGAAGAAGAACAGGCAGACTGACGAAATACACTGCTGAGGGGAGCAGCGGGTGAGACAGGAGAGGTCTGCCGCGCCATGTGGGACCCTCGCCGGATGGCTGGGATCGAACCAGTGCTGCAGAGGCTGCCGGCAGCTTCACAGCGCTGAAGCTCAACCACGCCACCAGGGGAGGCCCCACCCACCCTCTTGATATCTCTATTCTTTGATTTATCACCCCAACCGTCTTTTGATTTTTACCTCTAATTCCACCTCTCTGGCCTGTTATCTCTTTCTACACCTCCTTGACCCTTTCCCTCTTTGGCTGTAACTCCTCAGGCTCTCCAATGCCTTCGCGCAGTGCCTTTTCTGGAGGTTGAAAATCAAGAGTATGGGCCTCCCCGGTGGTGCAGCGGTTGAACGCTGGGTTGCGAAGCTGCCTGCGGCCTCTGTGGCCCCAGTTCGATCCCCGGCTGCTCCCCGGCCACTGGAGGAGGGTCCCACATGGCGCGCAGACCTCTCCTGCCGCCCCCTGCTCCCCTCAGCAGTGGACTTGGGTCCTTCTGCCTGCTCTGTTCCCCGCTCTGGCTCTGGTGAATTCTCTCACCCTCCTGCGCTTCTGACTGTACCCAGTGCATGTATAAACAAACAAACAAACAAATAAAACATGCCTCTATTAAAAAAAAAAAAAAAAAAAAGAAAATCAAGAGTAGAATGGGATGGGGAAGACCTAGCAGCACATGTGGAAGAACTGGAGAGTAGGTGACAGTAGGTATTTAGGAGTCAACAGGCTGATGTGGTCAACAGGCCAGAAGAGCTGGTACAGCATCAGGCACTGAGAGTGGAACCGGCCCGAACTCTGCATTTAGTCCTGGGAACTGAGGTCAGGCGACCCTGGCAAGGGGGTAAAGGTCCTGAAGGTATGATTCAGGCCAGGACTAAGGCAAAGTGCGAGAATGCAAAATTAAAGGAAGCCTAACTGTCAAGATTGTGCACATGCATGGTTGGCATTTGCACAACCCAAAGACTGAGAGCTTCCTTAGATTTTGGAAGATACCTTCCTTGTCTCACCCAAATTGTGGCTCTGTGCAGAAGGGCAAAAGGTGTAGACATACTGGGGCCTCCGTGGTGGCACAAGGGGTTAAGATGCAGCATTATGAAGATATCTGCAGACACTGCTAAAGCACGAGTTCAATTCCCAGCCAGGGAGCTGACCCACATGGCACAGCAGAACTCTCTTGTCTTTCCTGCTGCTCCCCTCAGTAGTGTATTTCAGTAGATCTGCCTGTTCTGTTTCCTATTCTGGCTCTGGTGAATCTACTCACTCCCCACACCTCTGGTCTGTACCCCAGTTCTTGTATGCATGAAAAATCTTTAAAAAAAAAAAAGGTGTAGACACCAGGTCATGTGAGAAGGGTTTAAAATAGTGGTTGATACATGTATTAATGAATGCCTTCTTTATATATTTCTATCTTACTTAATTGCACAAAACCCAAAACTTCACAATTAACGAGGGAAAGAGTTGGGTTGAAGGGAAAACAAGGGTAAGATTAGTACCCAGAAATGCTTACCAGGTGGTTCTATATGATTCCTAAATATGGGAGCTGAGCTTTACTTGTGGTTAGAAAAGTAATATAATCAGGTACAAGACTCATAAAGCCTGTAAGAAAAAGAAAAGGGATAGCATAGGAGAAACACAGTTTTTTCCTGCCACTGACACCTGATGGTGATTGCTCTGGTGAGTCTCAGTTAGAGGGGCTCAATGCTCGGTGTCAGGCAATATTCTCTATTCAATACCAAGGGGCTCCAGCAAGCCCCATAACTGATTGATTCATTCAGTGACATTTAATAAATATTTATTGAGTACCTGTGTTTTGGTACAATGCTGGGGAGGATGTTACCATGTCTCACAAGATATGGATACAAAAGAAACTAAGAACAAAAGGCCATAAGAACTATAATTCAGGTGTGTAATCCAAGGACTGGGGAAGGAAAATACAGATGTAGACAAAAGATTCAAAATTAGAGGTGATGTTTGAGATGTGTTTTGGTGAATGTATAGGAGTTCACCAGGCAGACGGGGAAGTGGGTATTTCCAGGCAGCAGAATAAGTGATGGTACCAAGGCTTGTTGGTGTAGTAGCACAGGGCGTGGTCCCAGGCTTTGCTGGGGAACTGGCTAGAGCTGCGGCCCGCATGGCAGCTGGCCCTGTGGTGAAAGGTCTCCTATGCCATGCTGAGGAGCTTGCTTTATTCAGCATCTGTAGTTGGCAATGGAGACTGGGATGGAGCAGGACGCTTCCGTAAGGAGTCAAAGCAGGGAAGTGCTTTAGAAAGATGACTCTGGAGTCAGCTGGCCTTGTGGAGAGGGTTTTTGAGGGTTTCCCAGGTGCGAGATGCCAATCTGAGGAATAATGAGATGGGCCACACTTAGATCTTGCCCTTAGTAGCTTAGTCTAGGAGCAGGGGTGAGCCAGGGGTTGGAAGAGCTAAGACAACTTTTTTTGCACTCTTGCACTCCTGTATTTGAATTCTGGGTGACACTGGGCACTCGTGATTTCCTGAATGTTCCATTTCCTTGTATGTAAAATGGGAGTAGGGGCCTTGAACTACCTGGATGCTTCTCTTCTGAGCTGGCCTGTCTGACCGGCTGTCATGATTTTGTCTACCTTCTTGCCAGAAGGGAATATTGGTACTGTACCAAGGAATCGATGTTCCTTTTTCTATTTTTTTGTTGAGGTAACCTCGCTGTATAGGTTTCCAGGATGCAGCTTCTCACCTCAGCAACTATTTATCACACCACGCCCTCCACCAGATGCCCAGTCTCCACCCACGCCCACAATGTTCCTTTAACCAGACTTATGTAAATGCTCTTCTTAGACCAGTCCTTTTCCTTGACTCTCTTTCCAGCCAGATTGCTGCCCCATAAAAATGCTGGAGTAGCAACTGGTAATTATAAAGAGACAAATTTCAAGTTAACAAAGGCAGGACTTTCTAACAAAGGGCTGGGAAGCCTGGAGAGGCAGTGGGCCCTCCTCCCTGGGGCATGAGGGGACATTATGCTTCTCCTGAGGCTCCAAACCCCATGGGGAGGGATATTATAGAGGCATTGGCCCAGTTGGAGCTGATGTCTTGCAAGAATCTTTTGAACAAGTTTTTATTTCATGAGTTTTGCTCTCAATCTTCCCCAGCCCCCTCCCCGCAAGCTTCTGTTTCTCAGGCCCCTTGAAGTGTGCCCCCTCCCAGAATTCTGACTGCTTCTCTGTGTTTTGTCCCTAGTGCCGCAGGTGCTAAAGAGCTGTGCAGACTTTGTGGAGGAGCATGGTGTGGTAGATGGGATCTATCGCCTCTCAGGGGTCTCCTCCAACATCCAGAAGCTCCGGTGAGTGGGGCAGTGAGGCCGGGCTGCAGGGCCAGGAGGCTGGGGAGCAAGAAGGGAGGGGAAGAGATATAGGTGTTAGGCACTGTCTAAGGGAGGTGTTCTAGAGCAATCTCCTCAGGAAAGGAGAGATCACTCCCCCATGCCCCAGCCTGTGCACACACAAGCATGTGCACACACAAGTTCACTCATACACACACTCTTACACTCTCACACACGCTCTCACACTCACACACACACTCTTCCACTCCCACATACACATACCCAGCTTTAAAAAAAATTAGATATGGGACCTCCCTGGTGGTGCAAAGGGTTAAGATACAGCACTATGAAGCTATCCGCAGCCACTGCAGCACGAGTTCTATCCCCCGCCAGGGAGCAACCCACATGGCGCAGCAGACCTCTCCTGTCTTGCCTGCTGCTCCCCTCAGCAGTGTATTTCACTCAGTCTGCCTGTTCTGTTCCCCACTCTGTCTCTGGTGAATCCTCTCACCCCCTGCACCTCTGGCCTACACCCCAGTTCTTGTATGCATAAATAAATGAAATCTTTAAAAAAAATTAGATATAATTCATATACCATAAAAGCCACCATACATAAATATATGATTCCATGGTTTTATATATTAAAAATGTATATATTAGAATAAATGTCACATATTATAGCTATTTATAGATAATATATACATTTTAATATATTATTTTATTGTTTATATATTGTTTTAAATCTTAATTTTTATATTGTTATTTATTAAAAATTTTGTGTTGTAAGTAATTTGTGTACTAAATATTTTTAAATTTATATATTAAAAATAGGAAAGTATATTCACAAGATTGTACAATCATCATCACTAGCTAATTCCAGAACATTTAATCACCCCAAAAAAAACCCTAGACCCATTAGCAGTCATTCCATATCTTTCTGTTCCCCCTGTCCCTGGCAACCACTAATCTATTTTCTGTTTCCATGGATTTGCCTTTCCTGGACATTTCATGTAAATGGAGTCATATAATTGTTAACTTTTTATGTCTAGCTCTTTTGACTTAAGCGTATTTTCAGAGTTCATGGATGCTGCTGCATGTGGCAGTACTTTCATTTCTTTTTTGTGCCTGATTAACATTCCATTGTATGATTATGCCACATTTTGTTTATCCAGTTATCAGCTGATGGCTATTTGGGTTGTTTCCACCTTTTCGCTATGATAAATATGCTGCTCTGAACATTCATCACAAGTATTGTGTGGATAGATGGTTTCAGTTCTCTTGAAACTATACCTAGGAGCGCAATTGCTGAGTCATATGGTAACTCTATGTTGAACTTTTTAAGGAACTACCAAATTGGTTTCCATAGTGATAGAATTGCTTTACATTCCCACCGATAATGTAAGAGGGTTCCAAATTCTCTACATCCTTGCTTATTCTTCCTACTGTGTGACTTTTTAATTATAGCCATCCTAGTGGGTATGAAGTGATATCTATATTTGCATTATCCTAGTAGCTAATGATATTGAACATCTCTTTATGTGCATATAGGCCATTTGCAGATCTTCTTTGGGGAAATGCCCATTCAAATACAGTGCCCATTTTAAATTTGTTTTTTTTTAAAGATTTATTTATTTATACAAGAACTGGGGTATAGTCAGAGGCACGGGAGAGTGAGAATTCACCATAGACAGAGCAGGGAGCAGAACAGGCAGATGGACCCAAGATACTGCTGAGGGGAGCAGCGGGCGAGGCAGGAGAGGTCCGCCATGCCATGTGGGTTTTCCCTGGCTGGCCAGGAATCGAACCCTCACTGCAGAGGCTGTGGACAGCTTCACAGCACAGTGCTCAACCTGCTGCGCCACCGGGGAGGGCCAATTTTTTTCTTTTGAGTTGCAAGAGTTCTTTTTATATTCCGAATATTAGATGTTTATTATGTCTACAATTTGCAAATATTTTCCCCCATTCAATGGGTTGGCTTTGCTTTCTTTTTTTATTATTATTGGATTGGATTTTTAAAATAATTTTTAAAAGATTTATTTTTTTGTGCATTCAAGAACTGGGGTAGAGGCCAGTGATGCAGGGGAAGGGGTAGGGTGAGAGCATTTACCAGAGACAGAGTGGGAGCAGAACAGGCAGATCTACTGAAACACACTGCTGAAGGGAGCAACACAGGAGAGGTCTGCTGCTCCATGTGTGTCACCTCCCTGGCCAGGCATGGAACTCATGCTGCAGTAGTTGTGGATAGCTTCAAAGTGCTGACGCTTAACCCCTTCCACCTCCAGGGAGCTCCTGGTTTCACTTTCTTAGACACAGAAAAGTTTGTAATTTTGATGTTCAATATATCATATTTTTTTCTTTGGTTGCTAGTACTTTGGGTGTCAGTCATATCTAAGAAACTGTTGCCTAATCCCAGGTCATGAAGATTTATACTTATGTTGACTTCTAAGAATTACATTCACTTATTTTTACGTTTACCCCCCCCCCAAAAGCATTTAGGCTCAACCACCACTTCCACCAGCACACCCTCATTTGCTACTCAAACTTGAAGCTATATCTCTGATCTGTATCCCTGTCCATGCACAGATCCACTACCTCATCTTCAATATCCTCCACATGTCAGCATGTGCAAAGCCTTCCACTTGCCTCATGTGTATACAAGCCCCAACCCCAACTGTCTCTGTCCACATCCCACACATATTCACCCTCAACCCTGCCTGAGCCATCTCTACATCCCCTGGTCCCCACTACGCCTGACCACTCTGCACCCCCCCAGGCAGGAGTTTGAAGCTGAACGGAAACCAGACCTGCGGAAAGATGTTTACCTGCAGGACATACACTGCGTCTCCTCCCTGTGCAAGGCCTACTTCAGAGAACTGCCGGACCCCCTGCTCACTTACCGGCTCTATGACAAGTTTGCTGTGAGTTGAAAGGCAGGGGTGTGGAAGAGCGGGCTCAGGTATGATTGCTCTGGTTTTCACATTCTCAGTGTGTTCAGTGCCAGAATCCTAGTGATCGTGAATGATACATAATACATTACTGGGGAAAAGACTCCTCTCCTTGAGCCTCGCGTTTCTCCCTCTCTTCATTTTCCCTCCTCCATGTCCTTTCACTAAGGTCTGCAGACCCCGTGTAGGGGGCTTGAGACTGGGGCAGAGCAGAGACCAGGTGATCAGAGTAGGATGGCCATGGAAATCACCTAGCCCAGACCTTCCTTCATCAAAGAGAATGAGAACCCTTCTTAGAAGTCAAAACTTTTTCTAGGATGCACCACCATGAACTCTCATACACATGAGAAAAATGCTATCCTGGATTGGGTGACACTTTAAACATAAATACATTGCATTGCCCACAGGAGTATTTGGAGACGTAGAGCAACTGCCCCACACCCTGAAACCTTCAGGCTTGAAACCTGGAGGCGAGACTGGGCGGACACAGGCTTTCTAGGAGATCTTGGAATAACTCTCAGGCCCAGGGGCACCCACAGGATGGATGGATGTGCCACCGATGCACTCCAGTTCTAGGTTTGCAATGAAGATGCTAAGGCAGAGAGTGACAGTAGCTTAAGGTCCCAAAGTTATTAAGTGGCATAACCAAGATTCATCTGCATGTCTTGTGGGACATGTGGGCAACAGAACAGATGCCTCCTGAGAGCCTGGCTCAGAGGTCTGGGGAGTGAGCATGGGAAATGCTGCGTCACTGACTCCTACTTCTTGGACACTTGTCCCCAATCAGGAGGCTGTGGCAGTGCAGTTGGAGCCTGAGCGTTTGGTTAAGATCCAGGAGGTGCTGCGAGAACTCCCTATCCCAAACTACAGGTGGGCTCCCTCACACTGCCCATGTTCTCTCTCTACCCTGGAGCCTTGACTAGACCCTTCTTTTCTGGCTCCCAGGCCCCATTCCTTCCCAAGGGATTCCCATGTGCCTCCTACCCGATTCTGCCCCCTTTCTGCAGGACGCTGGAGTTCCTCATGCGGCACTTGGTGCACATGGCCTCTTTCAGCGCCCAGACCAACATGCATGCTCGCAACCTGGCCATCGTGTGGGCCCCCAACCTGCTGAGGTGGGCACGTGTGTGGGCAGTATGTTGGGATTCTAGTAGAGCCTGGAGAATGTACCTGTTGGGGTGTGACTCTGTGGATACACTGGAGAGGGGATGGGGGTCACACAGAGCCCAGTGAGAAGCAGGAAGGGTGAAGATAACATTGAGTGAGATTCGCCACACCCACTTGAGCCCCTTCTCTGAGTGTGAGTAAAGTAGATATAAAATTTGAGGTGGATGTCCAAGAAGAAGCTTCTTTGAGGACACTTCCTCATTTGAGTCTTGATTCATCATGGGATGTAAGAGGAAAAGATTGGGTTAAAAGCATGCAGGGGAGAGAGGATGTGGTATTTTGGGGAAGAATTCAGATAATGCAATGTGGAGGGCTTGAGGAGGAATACCCACATCTCTACAGGTCTAAGGACATAGAGGCCTCGGGCTTCAATGGGACGGCAGCTTTCATGGAGGTGCGTGTGCAATCCATCGTGGTCGAGTTCATCCTCACGCATGTGGACCAGCTCTTTGGGGGTGCTGCTCTCTCTGGTTAGTAGCTGTGCCCCCCATCACCACCATCTGTCTGGAGAATCATATCAGAGTCTCAGAGTGCCCCAAATATCATGCAGTTCATTGCCCCATTTTGCAGATGAGAAAACTGAGGCTGATAGAGAGGTGGTGTTTATGGATACTTGAAGACACTGGAGAGATGATGCGGCACTCAGGACTTGAGCAGGCTTCTGCTCTCTCTCCAGGGCACAGACTGATCTGTCAATTCCTGTCCTGGCTCTCAAGGCTAGTGCCCTAGTGCCTGGTCATTCCTACCCCAGCCCACCAGGCCAAAGTCCTGGGCTCTCCTTGTCCTCTTTGCCCCCAAAGACACCTTCTTGGAGAGTTAGGCATGAAGGAGTGTCTCCTGGGTTCTGAGTATCCTTGGAAGAGTTGTTGGTGAATGGGAGGGAACAGTGAAGAGCAAGGTCCAGAGGGCTCTCTGGTCTCTGCTCTGGTTGGTCAACTCCTCTGCTTTTCCCAGGTGGTGAGGTGGAGGGCCGGTGGCAGTCACTTCCCGGGGCCCGTGCATCAGGCAACCCTGAGGACTTTATGCCGAGGGCAGTGCCCTACAACCTGCCGAGCATCCTGCAGGCTGGTGATGGTCCCCCACAAATGCGACCCTACCACACTATCATCGAGATCGCAGACCACAAGTAAGGCCTCCACCTGGGGCCTCCTTCCCTGTACTGATCCTTGGGCCGTGATGGACGCCCCATTGATCTCGCCATTCCCTCCAGGAGGAAGGGGTCTCTGAAGGTCAGGAAGTGGAGATCTATCTTCAACCTGGGTCGCTCGGGCCATGAAACCAAGCGTAAATTTCTACGGGGGGCTGAGGACAGGGGTAAGTGTGGGGAAAAGTAGGGGGAGCTATGTTGAGTGCAGGCCAGACGCCAGCCCTATGCACATCCCTGTCTTGCAGAGGAAAAGTCTGATAAGGGGACACTGCGGCCAGCCAAGAGCATGGACTCCCTGAGTGCTGCTGCCGGGGTGAGCGATGGTGAGTGTAGGTGTCACTACTCTGTGTGTTTATGTCTCTACATGTGGCCAAGTGTGCTCAATAATTTAAAAAAAAATGTAGTGAGTGCCTGTTATATTGTAGCCACAGTCCTGGATGCTAGGCTTCCAGAGATGGGCTTATCCTCTTGTCTGTGGGTGTGTTCATATGAGTATGTGGAAGGACAGTGTGTGTGTGTGTGGGGGGGGTGTTTGTGTGGGAGGGGTTTGATGGCAGTGACTTTATTTTTTTTTTATTATTTTTTTTTTAAAGAATCATGTTTCTTTTTTTTTTTAAACTTTTTTTTTTTTTTAAGATTTATTTTTTTATTTATACAAGCACTGGGTACAGTCAGAAGCACGGGAGGGTGAGAGAATTCACCAGAGCCAGAGTGGGGAGCAGAGCAGGCAGAAGGACCAAAGTACACTGCTGAGGGGAGCAGCGGGCGGCAGGAGAGGTCTGCGCGCCATGTGGGACCCTCCTCCGGTGGCCGGGGAGCAGCCGGGGATCAAACCGGCTCTGCAGAGGCTGTGGGCAGCTTCTCAACCCAGCGCTCAACCGCTGCGCCACCGGGGAGGCCCCTGATGGCAGTGACTTTAGCTGCAGGAAGGGAAGGGGTCTCCTTAGGTATATTAAGTGGGATGACCTTGTGGACCAATGAGGGTTGATAGTAGTGGTCAAGGAAGCTGGACCTGGTGCCTTCCTGCCTTTCCAACTTGAGAAAGAAGGGAGTGTTCTCCAGAGCCTTCGGAGGCATCCTAGTCCCTTGCATCTGGATTTACTGCCTACCTCTTTGTACTCCCAGAGCCAGAGGGTGTAGTGGGACCCAGTAGTCCCCAGCCATGTCCACTGCTGCCTGAGAGCCTTGAGATGGAGTCTGTGGAGGCAACAGAGGAGGAGCAAGAGACTGAGGCAGAGAGATTGGACAGCACGAATTCTGAGCCAGGCACCCCTCGAGCTGGCCGGTCAGCAATCCGCTCTGGGTGCAGCAATCGTGCAGAGCGCTGTGCCGGTGTCCACATCTCAGATCCCTACAATGTCAACCTCCCTCTACACATCACTTCCATCCTCAGCATGCCCCCAAACATCATCTCTAACGTCTCCTTGACCAGACTTACCCGTGGCCTTGAGTGCCCCGCTCTACAGCCACGTCCTAGCCCTGCCTCTGGCCCTGGCCCTGGCCCTGGCCCCGGCCCTGGGCCTCCAGGTAAGGACTCTGGGATTGCCCAGGATTTAGAAGAAGGGACCAGAACTCTAGGCTGAAGGTCTGATTTTACTATTCAGGGAAGGTCAGAGGCCTCAGTCCTTGGACTTTGGGGCTTTACCTTCAGCTGTTTCTCTGGATTTGAGGTTGGGGAGAATCAGCAATATTACCAGGTTGTATGAAATATGTAGGGAGAGGATCTCTGGAAGCCTTCAGATTTTGAGATACTCAAGAATGGGGGTCTGTGTCAGACATGTACAGCAGGGGTTACTAAATACTAGTGGGACTAGATAGTAGATGAGAATGATGACGATAACATTAATACTAATAGCTAACATTTAAAGGGAACTTATTATGTGCTATGTTAAGGACTCAGCAAGCATTAGCTTATTTTCCCATAACCTTTAGACACAGGTATTGCTCACAGCAGAACTTGAAATTAATTAATTAATTAAAAATTCACATTACACATCTTTTAAAAAAACAAAACTTCTTTATGCATACTAGAGCTGGGGTGTAAGGCAGAGTTGCAGGGGTGAGAGGATTCACCAGAGTCAGAGTTGGGAGCAGAACAAGCAGATTGACTGAAACACACTGCTGAGGGGAGCAGCAGGCAAGACAGGAGAGGTCTGCTGTGCCATGTGGGTTAGCTCCTTGGCTGGGGATCGAACTCATGCTGCAGTAGCTGTGGATAGCTTCATAGTGCTGATGCTTAACCTCTTGTGCCACTAGGGAGGCTCCAGAACTTGATATTTATATGAAGCAATTTACTGGTGATATAGGCAGTAAATTAGTGGGGATCTGATCTTTGCTCTGACTCCAGATCCTGAAGTGTCATGGATGAGAAGATGGAGGCAACAGAGGGTGGTGGGTAAGGAGATGGGCTATAGAATTAAGTAGACTTGAGTTCAAATTTTGATGGTGCCACTTGCTTGTGGCCTTGGAGAGACCATTTAAGCTCTCTGAGGCTTAATTTTCTCACGTGTAAAATAGGGATAAATTATAGGAGTGTTTTGTAAGGAAAGTAAGACAGCACATCATAAAATGTATAGTATGGTGTATGGCACCTGGAAGAAGGTCAGTGAAAGTAGTCATAAGCCATCCATTAGGATATTTGGTCTGAATGGACAGCCATATGGAATTTCTACACTGGGAGTGTTGGCCCCACACTCTAGCTAGGAAGATCTACATTGGAAAGAGCCAGGGCTAGTCTTGACCTTTGTATTCTTGGGACTCTCTCTCTCCCAACAGATGAGAAGTCAGAGTCAGGTTCAGTCCCAGGTCACCTGGCTGCCTCAGGCCCAATGGACATGGCCCCAGCTCTGGACGACTGCCTGTCCCAGGAGGTGCAGGATACCTTCTCCTTCCTAGAGGACTCAAGCAGCTCAGAGCCCGATTTGGTGGGGGTGGAGGATGGGGCGGTGGCCAAGGCAGGAGCAACAGGAGCAGCCTTCTCCCCTGGCGAGGACGACTCTGGGATGGGCTACCTGGAGGAGCTCCTGGGAGTTGGGCCTCAGGTAAGGAGGAGCTGTCCTGGGTTTGGGGGTGGTAAGGAATCCAGAGTAGACAGGGCCACTGGTGCTGAGCCACAATGTTGTGCCTACAGGTGGAGGAATTCTCTGTGGAGCCCCCGCTGGATGACTTGTCTCTGGATGAGGCACAGTTCGTCTTGGCTCCAAGCTGCTGTTCCCCAAACTCTGACTCCAGGCCTGAAGCAGAGGAAGAAAGTGGGGAGGAAGTCTTTTTGAGTGCCTATGATGACCTAAGTCCCCTTTTGGGGCCCAAACCCCCAAGCTTGGAGGGTCCAAGGAGTCCGGAGGAAAAGGTGGCAGGGTGTGGGACTTTGACTGAGGAAGAGAAAGGGTGTTGGGGAGTTGGGGAGAACAAGGATGCTGAGCCTGGAAGAAGATGGGACATCAGGGAGGATGCTGAGGGAAGTCCAGAGAGTGAGGTAGAGGCTAGAGAGGCTGTTGAGGAAGGCAGGGAGACTAGGGGAAGCCAAGAGGTGATGGTCAGTTTGAAAGAAGGGAGTGGGGAGTTGACAGAGACCAAGGGAGAGAAGTCCAAAGATGAGAAGGAGGATGAGAAAAGGGAGGAAAATAAGTGTGTTGAGGAGACAGGAGATGAGCAGGGTAAAGATAAGGAGGAAAGAAAGACAGAGAGAGAAAAAGTGACTGGAGAAGGAGAGGAGGCCCAGGCAGAAGCTGGGAGAGACACAGAGCCGATAGCCCAGGAAAGCCAAGTTGACAAGGAAAGCTGGGAAGTTGTTCAGAAAGAAGAGGCTGAGGGAGTCATAGAAGATGAGATCAAAGGACAGAGGGAGAATGGGGACCAAGAGGTAAGAGAAGACCAAGGAGATGATGAAGATGGCAGAAGGGCAAAAGCAGCAGCTGAAGAAGAGGAGGTCAGCAAGGAACAGGAGAGTGGGGATGGAGAGGCTGAGAGAGACCAGAGTGCTGGAGATGGCCATTTAGAAGAGGGCTCCCTTCCTGAAAAGTTGTATGTAGAGTCCCTGCAGGTTGACAATGCCAAAGAGGACAATTCCCAGTCCTGTGAGATGAAACAGGTGGCCCCAGAACCACCCCAGCCAGAGGAAATGGAGCCTGAGGGGCAGACCAGTTCAGAAGGTTGCCATGTGTGCCCCTGTCCCCTTGGTTCAGCTGGTGGTGTGGGCATGCGCTTTGCTTCCACCCTGGTCCAAGTCCAACAGGTCCGCTCTGTGCCTGTGGTGCCCCCTAAACCACAGTTTGCCAAGATGCCCAGTACAATGTGTAGCAAGATCCATGTGGCGCCTGCAAAGCCAAGCCCAAGACCTGGTCGACTGGATGGGACTCCTGGGGAAAGGGCTTTGGGGTCCCGAACCTCCCGCTCCTCTTGGAAGAATGGGGGCAGTCTTTCCTTTGATGCTGCTGTGGCCCTAGCCCGGGAACGCCAGAAGACTGAGGCTCACGGAGTTCGACGGACCCAGACTTGTACAGGTGGTGGGGACTATAGCCTCATCCCCAGAACCTCCCCCTGTAGCATCGCCCCTGCCCATTCTCCTCGGCCCCTTAGCTGCCTGGACCTGTCATCTGAAGGCAAAGAAGGGTCTGGACCCCGGAGTCGTCTTAGTCTTCCCCTTAGAGAATCCTTGCCCCCTGACCCCATTATGCTTCCCCAGTGCCGATCATATACAATCGAAACACAGGATGACCCTGGGAAAAGTAAGGGACTGTGATTAGGACTAGAGCCCTAGGCAAAGGGCACGGTATGTGGGCTTGACTTTTTTCAGTTTTAGACAGTTTCTTACGCAGTCTGAGAAGCTGTAATATCCAACTCTCTAGACTTTGGTCCTGCAGCTTCACTTCTGAACTGTAGGAGGCACTGCACTCATCCATTTCCCTGAGTGGCTCATTCACAAAGCACTTATCCCCCAAGAGATGCTTAAGAGTCATCAATGTTGTTTCCAAAGATTGAAGCTACTGACCAAAGAGGAAATGGAGTCTTCTAAAGCAAAGAATAAAGGAGGTGGTCTCGCTTCGGCAGCACATATACTAAAATTTGAATGATACACAGGAGAGTAGAAGGGCCCAAGCACCAGGATGACATGCGAATTCGTGAAGCGTTCCCTATTTTTTCATTTATCACAAGAAATGTAGATGATGCAAATAGGGTTCCGGGGAAAAAAAAAGTAATCATAATAAAGTAAAAATCAAAATCAACAGGCAACTATAAACTAGAGACCTTCTGCCCTGGAGAGGAGGGGATAATTCGTTCAAGAGTGAATGGGTGATGGGAATTTCTCAGTAACTACAACTGAGAAAAATGCACACGTTGTACAAAAATGAAAAATGATGTAAAAAAATATATAAAACAAAATGATAAAAAAAAAAAAAGAAGGGGGAACTTCAGGTAGCTACGTTCCTGCCCTTTTCTGATGCTGTGACCTTTTCATGGAGACCCTGGGTGGAGGCAGAGAAGACAAAGACTCTTCTAGAGTTGAGGCCCTGGAAGGACTGACCTCCATTCCAGTTATGCCCCCCTCTGCCTCCAGTGGCCTTGAGGAAGAGAACCCTATTCAGCTCTCTCTGGCCTCTCCTATTCCCTTTGGAATCACTTCCTCCTATTTTTGGAAAGGGGAATGGCCTCACTCAAGCCCTTGGGTTTATCTCCAAGCTGGGGTCACACATCACATTTTAGTCAAGGGTAATGTTTCAGAATAAACCTTGGATGTTTACATGTAAATAGTGTGGAGTCTCATTATTCTTATTGAAACCTTGACTTATAAGTATATGTTTAGCCAAACCTTGTCTTTTTGTTGTTGTTGTTTGGGTGCTTTCCTTAGTTGTTGCCATGGAGACCTGTGGCTAGAAACTAGAGCTGGGTTCATGGTGGTTAGCAAAAGAGGAAGAGAAACTTACTTTACATAATGTTCACTAGGTGCCAGTGAAGGCTGGATAGTCTGTGTGCACAGAATCTATGCCTTTGGTTTTATTTAATACACCTAATAATTGTGTGAGGTTGGCACTAGTACCAACCATTTTACAGATGAGAAAACTAAGACAACATTAAAAGACTTGCCAAAGAGCTTAGGTAAGAAGTGGTGGAAGTGTTAGGGGGAAAAGGATGTCCCAAAGCTAATTCCATATAGGCTTTGTGGACTCCACCCCCACCCTAGGTCAAAGTCAAAGACACTGGGAACTCCAAATCCCACCATCACCAAAGGAAGGTGGCTGGGACCTGAGGGTGGGGTTAAGCAGCCAGGTGGATATAAAAGGCAGACATGTGGGCTTTGGAGGATCCCCCATTTTTGGCTCTCCGCCAGCTCGCAGGGTCCCGCCAGCTTGGAGAGTGACTTTGGGTTTCCAGGTCGTCGGATCGGGTAGGACGCATTAAAGACTTTATTTCCCTATTTTTTTCCCTGAGTTGTACATTTTCCTTATTTCCTTTTCTCTTGTAAATAAACCTTTTATTAACCTTTGTGTGTGTAGTAGAGTTTTCATAAGTCCCTTTAAAGCGCGCGGGTGAGGACCCACAGCCAGGAACCCATTTTAATATCGGGGTTGCTCTATAACAGAAGTAGGATAGCAAACTGGGTTTGTCTGGCCCCAGAGACCGAATTCTCCATTACACCTCGTGTCTCCAAATCCATTAAGGGTAAGTCCTAAGACTGGAGTCAAGGTCCCGCTCACAGAAGTTGGTAGCCTTAAAGGTATTTTGGTTAGTGACCGCTGACGCTAACACAGAGGCATGTCCAAAGCCATACATGCGCAGATCTATGCTGATCACTAGTGTGAGGCTCTTCAAAAGGTGTCCTGATCCAAGATGGCGTCCAAATGGCCCTTGTTAAAGATGGCGCCTTCGGCCTAAGTCCCTCCCTGCATGAAAGCTGGACTCTCTCCCTCTTCTCCTGGAACTCCTGGAACTCCTGGAACTAAAAACACCCTATCCAGTAGCACAAGCTCCCCTCCTGCTCCTGCCGTACTTCTCCCGCGATTCAGCGGGACCCGTGAGCTAGCGAACCCCGACTACGTCCGCCCCTTTCAGCCCGCAACAAGATGTCGCGACCGGAAGTGGGCGGCACAAAGACGCGGGGGGCGGGCCGCGTCTGGGAGAACTTCCGCCCCTCACTAACATGGCAGTGGGCAGGCAGTGCGCATGAGCAGCTGCCCATGGAGAGACCCCGGTCCGGAGACCTAGCACACTGTCGGGGGAGATCGGCGAGCGAGGCAACCGAGGCCAGTGAGTGTGGGGCCGGGCGGGGTGTGGAGACTTGGGCGGGAGGGCTGGCAGGGCGGCCAGCCGTGGTTTTGTAGTCTAGGAGGTCCCGAGAACACGCCTTTGTTTTGAGGGAGGGGGCCGCGCCAGCTTCTTTATCTCGGGCCCCCTTTGTGGGCCGAACGCACCCCAAGCCCTCCCTGCGCCGCCCGCGACTGCTGGGGTCCCTGTGCCCCTGCCTGCTGCTAGCCCTCGCGCCCCCCGATTCTTGCTTTCTGCCACCCAGGGCCTCCGCACCCCGCCTCCTGCGTTCCGAGCCACCGCGCCCCTTGCCTCCTGCGATCCAGACCCCTGCGCCCCCCGCCTCCGGGGCCCGGCCCCCCGCGCCCCTGCCTTCTCTGCGCGCGGCGAGCTGGCGGTCATTGCGCCTGGGGCTGGGCTCCCGCTTTGGGCTGGAGGGTGCCCTGAGAGGCGACGCCGCGTTCTGGGGTTGCTCCAGGCGCCCGACTTTCTTTCGGGGCTTGGGTTTTTTCCCTTTTGTATCCAGACTTAGCCAGTGCTCTCTCTGGGCCCTCCTGGCCTGAGCATGCCGTGTCCTAGGCCGGTGTCGGCATCGCATAGCCTAAAACTCAGGAAAGGCTTCCGGAGGGCCAGCTAAGGCTGGAATAGGTCGTCTGACCCCGCTGCTAGGTGCCCTCGGGGGCGCCGCGCCTGACAGCTGTGGGCGATCGAGCCGCCTCCTGCGCCCCGTGCTAGCGTCACTGCCTCCCCCTGCAGCCCGCTGCAAGGTCGGGGGAGCGCTTACTCCCTCCTCAGTTTTGCCGATTGGGAGGAGGTAGGTGGTCCCGAAACAGTAGTCTGCTTCTACTTCCCCTTAGGGACTGGGATCTTTCTTCTTGCGGCGCTACTTCCTCTGCGTAGTTTCACTTTCAGTTCCTTTTTATTTTTGGCGCGGGGGTAGGTGTTGGGGGTTAACACTTTACGTAAAAATGGGCTTTACAAGGCTCGTTTTTCCTTGAGAGGAAAGGTTTGGGGGACCTATGGGTGGAGAGTTTACAAAAATCCCACCCCTTTTGCGACGGGATTATTTTATTGTTTTGTGCTGTTTCTTTCTGGAGGTATCTTTCTGCTCAGCCTTTTGTTTTTCCTGCTCTTCGGATAGGTGTGGGGGTGCTAGGTCCTAGGGCAATGGATTTCTCCCATATTCTCTCTTCTCCCTTAGAACCCTGAGCCTGGAGATTTTCCCCTTCTTCCTCTTCTTCTACTTCTTCTTCTTCTTTTTTTTTTTTTAAAGAATTATTCCTTTATTATAAGATTTTGATTGTACTTATTTTTGCTAGAACTCGGGTGTAGGCCAGAGGTGCAGGGGGGAGGGATGAGAGAATGCACCAGAAATAGAGTGGGGAGAAGAACAGGTGGAGCCACTGAAATACACTGCTAAGGGGAGCAGCGGAGACAGGAGAGGTCTGCTGAGCCATGTGGGGTTAGCTCCCTGGTGGGGCATGGAACTCAGGAACCGAACTCTGCCTACCACGGAACTCTGCCTGTGGTAGGCGGTGGTAGCCCTGAGACTTAACCCTTAGGCCACCAGGGAGACATGGTTTTTCCCTTCTTGTTGAGGCTCAGCTGATTTGGAGTGATCATGGCAACATTTTAGCAACTGTGTTTTTCTACAGGAAGGCTTGATAAATAAAATGGAAAAGCCTTGAAGATAATGCACTTGAACTTAGAATCTTAACACATTACATAAAGCTAGACACCTCCAAACAAGAGCCTTGTCAGTGGTATGGGGTGCAAGGGCCAACTCTGGTCTTTATGGTTGAGGGTTTTCCCATAGCATTGGGTTTCAAGTTTCCCCTTCCTAGATGACAGAACAGAAATTTCTTGGTGCACAGTATGTGGCTGGGAAGCTTTGTGCTCATGACCCTGTGTTTTTTGATAATGGTGGCCCTTCCTAATTCCCTGTCCTGATACATTTTAGTAGCTTTAAGAGTAATCCATCCAGAAATACATTGTTTCAGTCTTCCAGTATCATCCCACTGATATAAGGGGGAGAGGTGAGAGTTGAGAAATACTTTGTAAATTTGCTTTTTCAATCACTGGAGTCCCATTGGTGTGAGAATGAAGTGGGTGGTCCCTTTCAATGACTGGGTTGTGTCATCACGGAGCCTTAGTTTTGGAAAGAGGAGGCTGTTCAGTTTTCGTGACTTACTACAAGCTCCTTGATTTTTATCAGGACTTAGCACTCAGGCCTGTGGAACAGGAGATCTGAAGATCCCCAAAGCAGGACCAGATCCTCGGATGCGCCCCCTTACAGAGAGATGAAGGGGTGAGTGAAGAAGAGGTGGGGTCTGGGATGTGGAGGGATTCCTGAGAGAATGCAGATGTCTCAGACTACTGGCTCTGGAGTCAGGTCCAGTTACAAGCAGTGTGATTTCCCCATTTATAAAGTACAGGTAGTATTAATCTATCTCTAAGTGCCCTTCTTAGTATTAAATTAGATGGTTCCTGCTTCAATTTCAGCTCATGGCCTACTTCTGTAGTAAGTACTAGCTGCTGTCACTTTAACCTAACCTAGAGTTTGTGGGGAAGGCCATTGAGTTTGGGAGCCACATGTTAAGGGCCAATGACCTCTTAATTTATTCTTCTTCCCTTATTTTCCCTTTTGTCCCTTCACAAACAGGCAGCAGAAGACAGCCGAAACTGAAGAGGGGACAGTTCAGATTCAGGAAGGTGAGTGTAGAAACTGAACTGAGACTAATATACCCCCCTTCCCTACCTGTCCCCCATTCTATCTCCTATGCACCTTTTGCCTTCTAAATGACTTGCAAGTGGAACCCAGGGTGACAGGCAGGAATGTATAGCCTTTTCCTTGGCTCTTGTAATTCAGGTGCAGTGGCAACTGGGGAGGACCCCACCAGTGTGGCGATTGCCAGCATCCAGTCCGCTGCCACTTTCCCTGATCCCAACGTCAAGTACGTCTTCAGAACTGAGAATGGGGGCCAGGTAAGGGAGGGGGCCAGGTGGCTACAGGTTTATCTGGGGTTGGGATTGAGGGAGGTGATGGAATTTGTTGTGGGGAGACCTGACTTGGAGGATGTGATGTCAGTGTGGACTGTTTGGGGGGAGGGTGTTGGGATATAAGCTTTGGGGTAGAGATTGGTAATGGGTTGGGGCTATTCTAAAACCTCTGGGGAAAGCTATTCTAAAACCTCTGTCAGGAGAATAGCTGTATCTGTCTTGTTTGGGGGCCCTATCTAAGATAATCTTTATGAGGAGTCATGGGAGCCTCTGTACTTACTCTGTTATTTTCTCTGCCCATCCTCTCTCTTCCTTCCCCATCTAGGTGATGTACAGGGTGATCCAGGTGTCCGAGGGGCAGCTGGATGGCCAGACTGAGGGCACTGGTGCCATCAGTGGCTACCCTGCCACTCAGTCTATGACCCAGGTACACAGGTGTGGGTTGGGGGACACTAGAGAACTGAGTTATAAGATGAAAAAGGGAACCAACAGGTTGGGGGGTGGCTAGGGCTTGGGAGGCATCGAGGGCTGCCTGTTCCCAGACACTAGTTTCTTCCTTTCTAGATGTTTCTCTCTCCCTTCCCCAAAGAACAGAAGCTGCAGAGCAGTTCATTGGAAAGCATCTGAATGTCACTGGATTCTGTTCTCTTGCTCCCTTCCCAGGCAGTGATCCAGGGTGCCTTCACCAGTGATGATGCAGTGGATACGGAGGGGACAGCTGCTGAGACGCACTATACTTACTTCCCCAGCACTGCGGTGGGAGACGGGGCAGGGGGCGCCACATCGGGGAGTACGGCCGCTGTTGTTACTACCCAGGGCTCAGAGGCATTGCTGGGGCAGGCGACCCCTCCTGGCACTGGTGAGATACCTTGTGAGGGGGTGGGATATGCTCATAATCCCTTAACAAACTAAGACCTGGGCAGGCCATGAATCTGGGACTGGCGGTCTAGCAGGAAGAAACCTGTACTTCTAAAGAAGGGTACCCATGGCTTGGCTTTGAAGCTTGAGAAGGTTCCTGGTCCCATGGCCTGATAGGCCCTGCCTCTTCACAGGTCAGTTCTTTGTGATGATGTCACCACAGGAAGTATTGCAGGGAGGGAGCCAGCGTTCCATTGCCCCCAGGACCCATCCTTACTCGCCGTGAGTAACCTAATTTCTTCTCAATTACCCCAAGTGGTCTGGATATTTGTTGAATCTTATGTGATTCTTTACTCCTTAACTCCAGTCTCATGCTAATTCTGACTACCCCCTCTCTGTTGTCAGGAAGTCAGAAGCTCCCAGGACGACACGGGATGAGAAACGCAGGGCTCAGCATAATGAAGGTAGGTAGGATCCAGCTGTGAAGCTAGGAGAGTCTAGTGGGACTGGGGACAGCTGTCATGCTGGGGCAAGGTCAGGTAATTGTGCCCTGAGGCCTGTGGTGAACGCTCTCTGAGTCACCTTGTCCCTCTTTCCCTCACAGTGGAGCGTCGCCGCCGAGACAAGATTAACAACTGGATTGTGCAGTTGTCCAAGATCATCCCAGATTGCTCCATGGAGAGCACCAAGTCTGGCCAGGTCATGGAAAGACACTGGTAGTGGGCAGGATGCCTGAATTTTGTCTCCTGGTATTGTTTCCAGACATGGTGGAGAATGGGCACACATGGCTTTCCTTTTCTTCTCTCTCTGCAATATCTGTATCCCTGGGAGCTATCGTACCAACACCCTCAGGGGAAAATGAGGTCCAAAGTGTGAGGGTGCTTTGGGACGAAAATCCCATAGCTGGCATCATGTACTCATTTTGATGGGCTTCTTCTTGCAGAGTAAAGGTGGGATTCTATCCAAAGCCTGTGATTACATCCAGGAGCTTCGGCAGAGCAACCACCGCTTGTCTGAGGAGCTGCAGGGTTTTGACCAGCTACAGTTGGACAATGATGTACTTCGCCAGCAGGTCAGACCCCTGTCCCCAGGATCACCCTCCTCGACCCTGGAGCCACTGAGCCAGTGTGGGCCTCCCTACTTTGTTCCCATCTTTGCCCCTTCCTGGGAGATGTCTGAATAAGTGAGGGACTTGGAGTGCCAGCTTTCACACCCACTCCCCTTACTGCCTCCTTCCTGTGTCAGGTGGAAGATCTTAAAAACAAGAACCTGCTGCTGCGAGCTCAGTTACGGCACCATGGAGTCGAGGTCGTCATCAAGAACGACAGCAACTAACTGGGGGTTCAGGGCTTTGGACCCTCCAGCCCTTTTGAGAACTGCAGAGCCTAGGAGCAGCAGGCTAACCCATGCCCTTTTCCTTCACTGCCCACCTCTGGGTTGGGACTGGGGGTGTTCAGAGGTGTGGCTTTGGACAGAGGCCCTGAGATAAAGAGGCTTTCAGGGGTGTGAAACAGGGACACTTTTGGACATGCAGGGACAGCCTCACCAAGCCACCATGCAGCCCCTGGGCCCCTCTGTCTCTCTTGCACAGTGCATGTGCTGCCTCCATACTGGATGCTGGGCACAGCGGGGCTGGCCCTGTGCTTGCTAACAGAGCCAGCAGAGACTCGGCTGACAAGCTCTGCTCTGATTTGCCCCAGGACTCTGGCAATTCCGCTGGTTCTTCCTGTCCCTGGAACTCAGATGGGCACCTGAGGACTCTGGGCAATAGGCTTTAGAGAAACTTGGGGATAGGATGCTTAGCAGTGGCTGCTTCCCAGGAAGAGGAGATTGGCCTGCACACAGCTAAGGCCTATGAGGAAGTCTCATGGTCTCTGGAACCAGGGAGAACAGGCCCACTCCGGGCCGTCCGCCTGTGGGGAGGTTTTTTTCCTTTCTTTCTTTTTTAAGATAAAATGTTCAGAGCCACAGTTGTTTCCTGGTTTTCCTCTTTTTGTGGGGCCCATGGCACAAGGGAGGGTCACATTGCTCTTTGACCAGTAACGGCTGGGCCAGGCTCAGGTACTGCCCCTAAAGTTATCTGTAGTCCTAGCGCTGCACCTGAACCCTTCACTAAGCCCTAGCACCTGGGCGGGACCCATGTGTACCCGCCCCAGCCCACAATCACTAGGATATCTGCGGCGGGCTGGAGTCTGGGCACCCTGCGCAGGTGCTGCAGGGGCGGGGCGGGGCGGGAGGCAGTCCCTGCGCTTCCGGTTCCGGCCCGGAGGGGCGCGGGCGAGATGCCGCGGGCGCCCCACCGGCTGGCCGGGTCACCCTCCAGCGACTCGCCGGCGCCGCGCGCACCATGGCTAGAGGTACCTGCGCTGCGTGTGCCCCCGGGGTGCGGCGGGAACCTCCGGGTAATCGCGCATATGGGGGCGAACTGAGGACTCGTCCGGTCCTGCCTGTGCCTCCGGCATCCTGCGGGGGGAGGCGCGTGCGGGGGTCCGGAGGGCTCGTCCGGTCCTGAGTGTGCTCCCGGGTGGTGCTTGCAGTGGGGGGGGGGCGAGGGCGTGGTTGGAGGCCCCAGTGCACACCCTCCTTGGCTGGGTGCTGCCGGGGGAGGGGGAGACGCCTGTCGCTGCTAACATGCTCCCACCTCAGTGCCCACTGTCTCGCTCCCCGAACTGCGTTCGCTCCTGGCCTCGGGCCAGGCCCGGCTCATCGATGTGAGGTCCCGGGAGGAGGCTGCCGCGGGGACCATCCCCAGTGCGCTCAACATTCCGGGTATGGGCTGGACTGGGGCGCCGGGTGAAGTAGAAGGCTCTAGAGGGTCTTAGCCAATGGGAATTCATGTAGGGGGGTGGGGAGTCGGTCGTGCATTCTCTTCACTACCTCTTAGTTTTCTGGGATTGCTGACTGGAGGCGGACCTTGGCCTTAGAATTTGCCCTTCCTGTTTGAGGGGATAACAGGCTGGGAGGGGGCCGCCCAGCTCTCTCCGCCCTGGGGCTGGATGCCTGAGTCTGTCCTTCCTCGTACCTCGGGAAGTGTATCCGATCTAAGGTTGTTTGACTGATTTCCCATGGGACAGCAGGATCTTCTTGAGCTCGGGATGTTGGCCATCAGGTGTTGTTTAGGGGCCCCTGGAGACTTGTTCGACCTTCAGGCGTCCTTCCAGACCCAGTCTCTGAACCCTAGAGGGCCATCCCTATCCCTGCCCTCTTGACTCCTCCTTCAGTGTCTGAGCTGGAAAGTGCCCTGCAGATGGAGCCAGCTGCTTTTCAGGCTTTGTACTCTGCTGAGAAACCAAGGCTGGAAGAGGAGAATCTCATTTTCTTCTGTCAGATTGGCAAGCGGGGCTTCCTTGCCACACAGCTGGCCCAGAACCTTGGATATGCAGGGTATGGGGGAGGGTGATTTGCTAGCTGGGGAGGGATTGGGGGCTGTCTCCCAGGTCTTCCTTCCCTCACCTTCTTTGTCTCCACAGGGCTCGCAACTATGCAGGGGCCTACAGAGAATGGTTGCAGAAAGAAGGTTAACTGGGGCCTCCCTGGTGGTGCAGGGGTTGAAGTCTCAGCGCTCTCAAGCTATCACCAGCCACTATGGCATAAGTTTGATCCCAGGGATCTAATCAACATGGTGCAGCAGACCTCTCCTGTCTTGCCTTCTGCCCCCACTCTGTCTCTGGTGAATCCTCTCACCCCCTGCACCTCTGGCTATACCCCAGTTCTTGTATGCATAAATAAATAAATATGTTTAAAAAAAAAAAAAAGAAGACAGCTGGAAGGTGGCGTCCTGATCTTGCCTCACCCCCTTAATGGTGAAGAATGGGCTGATGTGTTGGGTTGGGCAGTTCCTTACAGTGTTGTGTTTACGAAAGTATCAAATAAAGCCTTTGATCAAAGTATTGGAAGCACTGAATTTATCAGGTAAACTGAAAACACTTCTGATCTTCATCTATACCGCTATTCAGTCCTGGATTCTTTCTCCTAGAACAATTGTTTTCAGCCTAGGATGCATCTCAGAATAACTGGTAGCATAAAAAACTTAGACATGGGGCCTCCCTGGTGGCAAAAGTAGTTGAGCACCACACTATGAAGCAATCCGCAGTCTCTAGCATGAGTTTGATCCCCAGCGAGCCAGGGAGCAACCCACATGGCGAAGCAGACCTCTCCTATCTCTCCCGCTGCTCCCCTCAGCAGTGTATTTCAGTCAGTATAACTGTGTTCTGCTCCTCACTCTGTTTCTGGTGAATCCTCTCACCCCCCTGCGTCTCTGGCCTATACCCCAGCTTTTGTATGCATAAATAAATCTTTTAAAAAAAGGTGCTTTCCAAAGGAAAATTCAACAGTAGGTGTAAAATTCCTTTCATGTGGTCACAGTGGGATGCTTGTTTTTCCAGACCTTTTAAATACTTCAACAGCAGAGTTTTGACTTACTAAATTTGATTTTAAAATATATTACTCTTTAATTTTTTTGGAGAGAATGTTGGGTCAGAGATGGACTGAATTTCCTGTTTTTTCAAGTATCTAAGGAAATTCTCACAGACATTTCCTGCATCCCTTGCCTTTGCCCCACCTCCTTTTCCTCTTCCTTTCTACCTTCTGATGGTACCCAGCCTTCCTACATAGTTTAGATCACAGTCTATGCAACTCTCTATAATGTTTCCATTCATCTGGCCCCACCTTCTCTGTAACAGCTAGGCCACTCTCTCCTGGGATGATCAGGAGATCATATCTATCTGGGCTTAGTTGAACAGTGTGGATCTGGAGATGACAGCTGACATACACAAAAGACTCTGTTCTGGGTCTCCCTGGTGGTGCAAGGGGTTAAGTCTCAGCACTATGAAGCTATCAGCAACCACTGCAACACAAGTTTCATCCCCAGCCAGGGAACTAACCCACATATGTCACAGCAGACCTCTCCTGTCTTGCCCGCTGCTCCATTCAGCCGTGTTTTTCAGTCAATCCACCTGTTCTGCTCCCCACTTTCTCTAGTGAATCCTCTCATCCCCCACATCTCCGGCCTACACCCCAGCTCTTGTATGCATAAATAAATAAAATAAATCTTAAAGAGTCTATTTCAGGTTCTGGTAAATGGGAGGTGTCAGTTACCCTTTACCCAAATCCCTTTGGTTCTCAGACTGGTTGGGAAATTTGTTTTTGTGTCTTATTTCCATCTTTGTTTGAGTCTTAACAGTTCTAGTATTTTCTTGCCCTCTTCAAGTATTATAATTTCATGTTAGCATTTATTTTCTTTTTTAAAATAGCGATATACTTTATAATAAAATGCACAGTTCTTAAGTGTTTGGTTTGAGTTTGGCCAATTGTATGTTCACTGGTTACAACCATCCATACGAGATAGAGAACACTGAAATCCCCGACATTTCCCTTGGCCCCTCTCCATCAATTCCATGCCGAATCCCTTTCTAGGCAACCATAAATTATTTTCTAGCTTCCTTTCTGGCCTGTCATCCTACACTGTTTGCTGTCTTCAGTTTTGTTGAACAGGATTAATAGAGGATCCTGGAAGGAAACTGAGTTAGCCCACTATATGACCATGCCCTCTTGTTTGTCACTGCTAAGAGAACATTCCTCTTCCTCCTTCATTAGCTGTTTGGTTCCTAATCTAGACAGGTTGTCCCAACTCTTTATCTGCCCTCTAACATTCTCTTTCATTTTCTCATAGCTAACTATTTCGGCAAGTGAAATTGAAGAACTGATGTTGACCATTCTGTGTCCTTTCCTTTCTTTTCTACAGTAGCTCCTTCTCCCTGTACTTTATCTCCCCAGGTTTGTAGTATTGACCAATGCCTGTGTCATCATAGCTACTACACTACATTTTTGTTAATTTTCTCTATTGGTTGTGAGCTCCTCCAAGGCAGGAACTGGCCTAGCCCTCCAGTGCCTGGAACCAGAGTTCTCAGGTATTTGTTGAGGCTCACCCGCCTCTGACTTTCAGAATCTTCTGATTTCAGCCTTTCTAAAACATTGCTGATTGAGTAATCTTAAAATAACATTTTAATCTTATCAACCAGAGTTGATAATTTACAATAGGTCCTTGTTGCCTCGTGGTTCCAGCACAAAGAATCTTCTTTCCTTTTGAGCAATCTGTAGTCCATGTTAGGCATTGCCGGGCCTTTCCAAACTTATCTTTTAGTGCCTGCTCTCAGCTGGGTTTGCTAGCCACCTAAATGCACACTCCTCCTTCCTCATCCTGGCTTTACTTGCCATTTACCCTGTTTGGGGAGTTTCCAGTCTCTTGTACCACTCTGAATTTCACAAGAATTAGAAGAATGTTTCTGGCAGAACACTTGTCCTCATGTAGAGGGCTTTTTTTTTTTTTTTTTTTAAGATTTATTTATGCATACAAGAACTGGGGTACAAGCCACAGATGTGGGGGGTGAGAGGATTCACTGGAGACAGAGTGAGAAACAGAACAGGCAGATTGACTGAAATACACTGCTGAGGGGAGCAGTGGGTGAGTCAGGAGAGGTCTGCTGCACCATGTGGGTAGCTCCCTGGCTGGGGATTAAACTTGTGCTGCAGTGGCTGCGGGAAGGTTCATAGGTTGTGTCTTAACCCCTTGTGCCACCAGGGAGGCCTTAGGGGGCTTTAAAATTGAAACAGAAGAGAGAAAAATAACCAGATAAATTATGTAGCTGAATACCAAGAACAACATGCAGAGCAGTGGGAAAGCTGTGCACACCTCTCCTGTAGCACTTACCATGCTGTATCATGCTTGCTTGGTTCTTCCCTTTTAGACTTAGCACTTTAAGGGGGAGGGTCTGTTTCTTTCATTGTTGTATGACCAACAATTTAACCAAAACCTGGCATGTAGGAGATACTTGGTAGATGTTGAGTCTTTTTTTCTTTTTCTTTTTTTTTTTTGAAGATTTATTTATTTGTGCATGCAAGAGCTGGAGTATAGGCCAGAGGTACAGGGGTGAGAAGATTCACCAGAGACAGAGTGGGGAACAGAACAGGCAGATTGACTGAAATACATTGCTGAGGGGAGCAGCAGGTGAGTCAGGAGAGGTCCCCTGCACCATGTGGGTAGCTCCCTGGCCAGGGATTGAACATGTGCTGCAGTGGATGCAGGTAGCTTCATAGATTGTGTCTTTTATTCATTTTTTTTTTTATAGAGGCATGCTTTATTTATTTGTTTGCTGGTTTGTTTGTTTATACATGCACTGGGTACAGTCAGAAGCGCGGGAGGGCGAGAGAATTCACCAGAGCCAGAGCGGGGAGCAGAGCAGGCAGAAGGACCGAAGTACACTGCTGAGGGGAGCAGCGGGCGGCGGGAGAGGTCTGCGCTCCATGTGGGACCCTCCTCTGGTGGCCGGGGAGCAGCCGGGGATCGAACCGGCGCCGCAGAGGCCGCGCGCAGCTTCGCAACCCAGCGCTCAACCGCTGCGCCACCGGGGAGGCCCCATAGATTGTGTCTTAACCCCTTGCGCCATCAGGGAGGTCCCCAGATGTTGAATTCTTATTGAGATATTTAGTAATGTTAAGAGGAAAATAATGCAAGGGGAGAAAGTTTGGAACAATATTCAGGTATGGTAGCATGTTGTTAAAGAGGAAAATCGGGGGCCTCCCCAGTGGTGGAAGGAGTTAAGTCTCAGCACTGTGACACTATCCACAGCCACTGTAGCACAAGTTCAATCCCCAGCCAGGGAGCTAACCCACATGGCGCAGCAGACCTCGCCTGTATTACACGCTGCTCCCCTCAGCAGTGTATTTCAGTAGATCCGCCTATTCTGTTCCCACTCTGTCTCTGATGAATACTTTCACCCCCCCATATCTGACCTACACTCCAGTTCTTGTATGCATAAATAAATAAAATAAATGTTTAAAAAAATATAGAGTAAAATTAAAGGCTAAGAATCTGAGTTGTGAGTTCAAATTCTGACAGTGCTACCTGGTGATCACAGCACTTTATCTGTAGAATGGGGGTTAAAATGATTTATCTCTTTGGATTGTTGTGTTTAAAGGGATAAGGGTGGGGGTGGGGAGGTAGGGCCTCCCTGGTGGCCTAAGGGTTAAGTCTCAGCTCTATCACCAGTAAGGGCCCTCCCTGGTGGTGCAAGGGGTTAAGACACAACCTTTGAGGGCCTCCCCGGTGGCGCAGCGGTTGAGCGCTGGGTTGCGAAGCTGCCCGCGGCCTCTGCGGCGCTGGTTCGATCCCCGGCTGCTCCCCGGCCACCGGAGGAGGGTCCCACATGGCGTGCAGACCTCTCCTGCCGCCCGCTGCTCCCCTCAGCAGTGTACTTCGGTCCTTCTGCCTGCTCTGCTCCCCACTCTGGCTCTGGTGAATTCTCTCACCCTCCCGTGCTTCTGACTGTACCTAGTGCATGTATAAACAAAACAAACAAACAAACCAGCAAACAAATAAATAAAGCATGCCTCTATAAAAAAAAAAAAAAAAAAAAAAAAAAGACACAACCTTTGAGCTATCCTCAGCAGTATATTACAGTAGACCTGCCTGTTCTGCTCCCCACTCTCTCTGGTGAATCCTCTCACCACCTCTCCCCCTGTACCTCTGGCCTGCACCCCACTTCTGTATGTATAAATAAATAAATTTTGGGCCTCCCCTAGTGGCACAGCGGTTGAGCGCTGGGCTGCGAAGCTGCCCGCAGCCTCTGCAGCACCAGTTCGATACCTGGCTGCTGGGCGAGGGTCCCACATGGCGCGCAGACCTCTCCTGCCGCCCGCTGCTCCCCTTAGCAATGCACTTTGTCAGTCTGCCTGTTCTGTTCCCCGCTCTGGCTCTGGTGAATTCTCTCATCCTCCCGTGCTTCTGACTGTACCCAGTGCTTGTATAAATAAATAAATAAATCTTAAAAAAAAAAGTTGTTTTCAATAAATAAATAATTTTTCATAAATAAATAAATAAAGCAATAACATATATAAAGTACTTGCCACATAATAGGATAGGCCTTTAGCAGTGTATATAGTATGAACATCAAATAGAAAAAGGTGAATAAACATTGTATGAACAGTAAACACAAGGAGGAAACAAAAAGAGCATAGATACTGCAAGTGGGTATAAGGGAAACTAAATGGCAGTGAAAAAGTATGTCATGTTGTTATAGGGCAGTCCCGATATTGAACGGGTTGCCTGGCTGTGGGCCTGGGGTGGGGGTGGAGTCCACAAAGCCTGTATGGAATTAACTTTAGTACATCCTTTTCCCCCTAACAATGTTACAAATATTTAATAGAGTCAGACATCGTAAGTGCTCATCTTTATTTTACAAAGTGGACAAACGAATTTAACCACCACTGTGGCTAGAAAACTTATACATTGTATGATTTGAGTCATTAAACTCAGCTGAGATTTGCTTTATGACCAAGTACATGGTCAATTTTTGTAAATATCCCATGAATACTTGTTAAGAGTATATTCTACAGTATTTGGGCCCAGTTTATTTTGTTCAAATTTATATCTCTACTGGTTTTATTTTTGGTCTGCTTGTTCTGACAGCTACTTTCTGAGGTGTGTTTAAATCCACTATGATTTGGATTTGATTTGTCAATTTCTTGTAGTTATGTCATTTTTACTTTATATAGTTGGAGACCATGTTACTAGATGTGAAAAATTAAAAAAATTATAATTGTTATGTTTTCTCCTGAACAATCCTTTTCTCATTATGTCCCTCCTTATCGCTGATGTTCTTTCTTCCTTGAAAGTCTATTTTATCTGCTAATACAACTATACCAGCTATGGGCCTCCTTGGTGGCGCAAGGGGTTAAGCATGGTACTGTGAAGCTGTCCATCACCAACCTCTGCAGCGTGAGTTCAATCCCCAGCCGGCCAGGGAGCAACCCACATGGCGCAGCCGACCTCTCCTGCCTCTCCCCTCAGTATTTCAGTCAGTCTGCCTGTTCTGTTCCCTGCTCTGTCTCTGGTGAACCCACTCACCACCCCCACACCTCTGGCCTATACCCCAGTTCTTGTATGCATACATAAATAAATCTTTTTTAAAATTTTATTTATTTATTTATTTACTTACTTACTTACTTACTTACTTACTTATACATACAAGCACTGGGTACAGTCAGAAGCACAGGAGGGTGAGAGAATTCACCAGAGTCAGAGCGAAGAGCAGAACAGTCAGACCGACGAAATACACTGCTGAGGGGAGCAGCGGGTGTGGCAGGAGAGGTCTGCATGCCATGTGGGACCCTCGCAGGCAGTTGGGGATAGAACCGGCACTGCAGATGCTGCGGGCAGCTTCTCAGCCCAGCGTTCAACCACTGCGCCACCAGGGGAGGCCCCATAAATAAATCTTAAAAAAAAAAAAAAAGACCAACTATACTAGCTACATTGTGGTTAGTGTTTACGTGGGAGTAATAGACTGTCTCTTGAAATTTCATATTAACCAAAGAAACAAACAGTAAGCACAGTTGGATGTGAGAAGTATGCAATAGAAAAGCATAATTTTAAAATTAAGAGAAAATATAACGGCCACCCTGGTGGCTCAAGGGGTTAAGATGCAACCTATGAAGCTATCCGCAGCCACTGCAGCATGAGTTCGATCCCAGCCAGGGAGCTACTCACATGGTGCTGCAGACTCTTCTGACTCCCTCGCTGCTCCCCTTAGCAGTGTATTTCAGTCAGTTCACCTGTTCTGTTCCTCACTCCGTCTCTGGTGAATCCTTTCACTCCCCACGCCTCTGGCCTGTACCCCAGTTCTTGTATGCATAAATAAATAAATCTTAAAAAAAGGAGAAAATACAAAACTTGTGGTCAGAGACTAAAGAGAGTATGAATCCAAAAGTTGAGAGACCTCAGAAACCACACTTGATAGTATTTTCCAATGGGAAATCCTTCCAGTTCTCTATAGAGTTAAAAATTTTTGTTTAAATTTATGCATAGGGCCTCCCCGGTGGCGCAGCAGTTGAGCGCTGGGTTGCGAAGCTGCCCGCAGCCTCTGCGGCGCCGGTTCGATCCCCGGGTGCTCCCCGGCCACCAGAGGAGGGTCCCACATGGCGCGCAGACCTCTCCTGCCGCCCGCTGCTCCCCTCAGCAGTGTACTTCGGTCCTTCTGCCTGCTCTGCTCCCTGCTCTGGCTCTGGTGAATTCTCTCACCCTCCCGTGCTTCTGACTGTACCCAGTGCATGTATAAACAGAACAAACAAACAAACAAACAAAGAAATAAATAAAACATGCCCCCCTCCAAAAAAAAATAAATAAATTTATGCATACAAGAACTGGGGTAGAGGCCAGAGGTCCTGGGGGTGAGAGGATTCACCAGAGATGGAGTGGGGAACAGAACAGGCAGACTGACTGAAATACACTGCTGAGGGGAGCAGCAGGTGAGTCAGGAAAGGTCTGTTACACCTGCCATGTGGGTTAGCTCCCTGACCAGAGATCGAACTCAGTATTGCAGAGGCTGTGGACAGCATCATAGGTTGTGTCTTAACCCCTTGAGCCACCAGGGAGGGCCACCTTAAAATCTTCCTCAAAGTCCCTCATCTTAAAGCTTCTCCTTACAATCACAGCCCACAGTGCTTGGTTCCCTCTGTTCCTCTTTTTTCTGGTACATAACTTGGCATATACTTCTTTCTCTTCAAGGCTTTAAATTCCTTTGAGGGTAAAGAGTAGAGCTTTGTACGTGGGCAATATAGTGTAGTAATACTATAGTAATATGAAGTTTCTCATTGGATATATATTGTCTCGTTTCCTGTATTAGTCCTGGAAGTAGGCTGTAAGCCATGTGAAGCCAGGGACTGTGGTTTATATTTATTTGTATTCCCCTACAGCTCCCACCAGGTGCTTTATAACTGCTTTAAGTTGGGTGAAACCAGGTGGACCTCCCTGGTGGTGCAAGGGGTTAAGACGCAGCACTATGAAGCTATTGGCAGCCACTGCAGCAGGTGTTCGATCCCTTGCCAGGGAGGTGACCCACATGTCGCAGCAAACCCCTCCTGACTGGCCCACTGCTCCCCTCAGCAGTGTATTTCAGTCAATCTGCCTGTTCTGTTCCCTGCTCTGTCTCTGGTGAATCCTCTCACCCCCCACACCCCCCAGAAGTGGACCTTTGACCCAAGAGATGTAGACAAAGGAATAAGAACAAAGGTGAAAGCAAAAAGTCGAAGAATACCTCTGTTTTTGGGAAAAAGTGGAATTTTTACTTGTAATAAGTTAATGTTCAGGAAGTTTTCCCTACAAGCAACCTTAAGTCAGTTAAAATTAAATCACTAGAAAACAGACTCTAGAAATAGTAAAGCTGTGGAGGATGAGTTTCGGTTAAACATTGATGTAACAAAAAACAATGTTATAAACCAATGTTACTTCAATAAAAAATAATGTAACGACATAAATATTGACAGACAGGTTGAGTATAGAGACAGTCTAAAGAAAAGGGGCTTAGTCAGCACCCAGCTATTACAGTGAGAAGATAAGTATTGATAATTCTGAAAGGGAGGAGATCTCCCTGGGTTATGCAAGAGGTTAAGTCTCAGCACTATGAAGCTATCAGCGGCCACTGCAGCAGGAGTTCAATCCCCCTGAGAGGAAGATGACCCACATGGCACAGCAGACCTCTCCTGTCTCGCTGGCTGCTCCCCTCAGCAGTGTATTTCAGTAGATCCCCCAGTCTTGCTTCCCACTGTTTCTGGTGAATCCTCTCTCTACCCCCCAACCCCACAGGCCTCTGGCCTGCACCCCAGTTCTTGTATGCATAAATACATCTTAAAAAGAAAATTCTGAGAGTTCTGCTGGCAGATCAAAAGTGTGTAAAGAACACTCAGTCACTCAGTAATATTTATAGAGTATCAGTCGTCATAGTTTCTATGATCTGGGTGTGTTTGGTCTACGCATGTTTACAGTTCTTGAGATAATGTGAGATAATGAAATTCCCTCCACCCTTTTTTTTTTTTCCTTCAGGATTTATTTATTTATGCAAGCACTGGGGTACAGGCCAGAGGCGCGGGAGGGTGAGGGGATTCACCAGTGACAGAGTAGGGAGCAGTACAGATAGACGGACTGAAACACACTGCTGAGCGCATCAGCGGGCGAGACAGGAGAGGTCTGCCATGCCGAGTGGGAATCTCTCTGGCCGGCCGGCCGGGAATCAAACCGGTGCTGCAGAGGCTGCGGACAGCTTCACAGCGCTGCGCTCAACCCGCTGCGCCACCGGGGAGGCCCGAAACTCCCACTATGAGGTGAACGCTCTCTTCTCCCTTTCTCTTCCCTCTCTCCTCGCTGGGCTACCCAAGCCCCGGAATGCTAAGGAGCTGACAGAGGAACACAATTTGGGGCTCTATAAAGGTATCATGCCTCGTTTCTCCTGGCCCTCCCCTCACCCCCCGCATATTGTGTGTTTTTCACTTATCAAAGGTGGGACCAAGTTTCTGAGGTCCCCAACAATTTACACGCCAACAACAAAGCGTGGGCTCTTCCGTGGTTCTCCATGGAGCCCAATTCGGAACTCGGCCAGGCGGAGTCCTCACCGCCGGAACGCCGCCCAACCCGCCGTCCTCACCTGCGGGAGGTGCGCGGTCACCTCCTGACCGACAGTCCCCTCAGCCAATCAGACGCGGCTGGGCTTGGACGGCCCAATCCCCCGGGATAGCGAGTCGCGGGTCGCGTCGCACCTGGCGGCGGTGAGTCACTCGGCGGAGCGGCGTGCCCCTCCGCCAATCGGGTTGCGCAGGGGCGGGGCGCCGGCCTATGGGGCGAGGGGGCGGGACTTCAGGGCCCCACCTGGCGGCCGAGCGCAGAGCGGGCGCTGCTGTGGGCGAAGCGCGGTGTGCGGGGCTCCGCGGCGCTGTTCTTCGTGGTGCTGATCGCTATGGGGTCTGAGACGAGGCCAGGGAGGACGCAGTGGCTGCTCTTCACGTTGGTGATCCTGTGTAAGTTACCCGAGCTCGGAAGGAGTCGGTGGGTCGGTCGTAAGGTAGAAGAGGGCGCTCCCCACGCCCTTTGCCGCAGGAGGGAGGAGTTCCGAAACCCGCCGGTTTTCTTCTCCGCGTCTTTTGAACTGGCCCCGGTCCTCTCGACAGACTCCCCTTCTCCCTGGGCAGAGGGTGGCTCTCCTCCCCCACACCGGTGAGCTGTGATCGCACTCGGTACACCCACCCGGAGCCAGTGCCCCCTCCGCAGCTCCCCTCAAATAACGGGGAGGGCCATGGGCGCAGCGCCCACATGCCTCCAGCCAGCGATCCCCCGCCACACGCACCTGGGGAGGGCCACCTTGCCGCTCGCTCACCCAGCAACCCCAGAGAAGCCGGGATCCTCTCACCCCCCACCCCCGCTTCCCTTGGCCCTTGACCGCCCTGTTCCCGAAGGGTCTTCAGAGAAAACCTAGCGGAGGTGGGTGGACGGAAGTCTCTTTTCCTGGCTGTTGCTGAAGCGGACTTTTTAGCCCTCCTGGATCTTTGGGTGGTGGTTGCTCTGGAGAAGGTCGGTGCAAAGTTGGAAGAGGAAATCTGAAGTGCCTTAGAGCATATCATTCAAAGTTCCTCTCCAGAAGAACTACCCCAAGAGTCCATAACAAATGTTGTTGACTGAGCAGCCATTCCTCAGGGAGCACCTATCTGTTGGTTGGCTGGATCTTGCTCAGAGCCCTAACTCTGCCCTCCCCCTGGCCGCCTAGAGTTTTTGTTTCCTTTGTAAACTCCCTTTCCGGTGGAACAATGAGGCTCACTTGCCGGGACTTGCCTCTTTCTATGGATATAGTCAACCTGTGTCAGCACCTACAAGTGTGTCTGTCTGATTCCTGAGTGTCTGTGTGTGTCCTTCTGTGGAAAACAGTCAGTGAGTGTTCTGTAGGAATCTGTTTTCAATTCGAAGCTCATGTTTTAGGAAGTTTAAAAGAAATGAGTGATGAAAACTAGTTATCGGTGATCATAAAGCAATTCATTTTGCTTGATTTTGAAGGGTGGAAATAGATTCCCCTGCCTTACACAGGTGCCTTGACCTTTCATTTTCTCTCTTATCACAAAAACATAAACCCTTGGGATGGGCTAGACCAAAGGCAACTCCAGTTCTCATTGTACTGAACAGATAAGGAAACAGGTCCAAAGAGGGGAAATGACTTTTCCAGATTGACAAAAGAACCTGAGGGTGGAGTCTCCTGACTCCCTTCTCCTTCCACTCCTGGGTGCAGAATCCCAGTCTCCATGATGGCAAACATCGGTTAGGGCTACTGTTCCAGAATCTGCTATCTTATTACCTTTTTCAGTCTTTCTTTCCCACTAGAATCTTTCTTCTCTCACCTACCTCTTCCTTTCATTCTACTCTTCTGTGGTGTCTCTTTTCTTCTCCAACTTCCATTATTTCCCCACTCTCATCTATTCACTTCTGACTGAATCTTAGAGCTACTGCTAATGCTCATTTTTTTTTTGGGTTCTGTTTGGTGGTCAGTACTAAAGACTTTGCCAATGAAATACTGTTCTATGGTCTAGTACATTCCTCCCCTCTCCCTCTCATCCCCTAACCCTAGAAGGTTCTTTTTCTATGTCAGTGACTGGTTTTGTGACCATGTTTATCAGACTTAGAAGCTTTCTGGAAGCTGTGCCTGTCTCCCCTTCCTTTTCTCTCTCCCTAGTTTTTGATATTATTTGTGAAAATTGCACGAGACTTCCTACTTGCACTGAAAGAACTGTGATTGTGCCTTGCTGAGCATGGGAATGGCAATGGATGTCAGGGACCTAAGCAGCTTAGGAGCTTGGGAGGAGCCTGAAATGCTGCTATATTAGCTCGACAGGACCATGCATCTTGGGAAGTATCATGTGCAGGGGGTGGAGAAGCTGACCTTGTTACATTTAAATTGGCCTAGACTTGGGGTGGGGGAAGCGATTTGATTATGAAATGAGGATGACAATAGGAGCCTGGCCACCCCACCTGGTTCCAGCTTGACTCTGCTTTATTGTGTCTTAGGCTTGTAGTTCAGTCTTTTCATCTGTAAAACAGGAGTAATAATACTTGTCCTAACCTTGTCCTGAGCATCAACCTGGATAATAGCTACATTACATAGACACAAAGGGATTATTATTGGGCAGCTATTACCCCTTTGGGTTTTGTTAGGATGAAAAAATGCTGTCCCTAGTTGAGTAGGTCAAAGGAAGCCGGGAGAGACTCTGCTAGATCCCAAATGGCAAGAGTGAAAAAGTAGGGTGTCCTTTTTGGGCATCTAGTCTGTCCCCTGCCTCTGGAATGTCAGAAGCATATATACAAGATGCCCAAGTGGTGCTTATTGTGGATGTTGCCATCAGGGAGGAAGAAGAAGGGGCAAGATAGAATTGACAGATCAAGCAAAGACCCAGCCCCAGCCTGGGGAACCTAGTGGAAGAAGCTCTGAGCCTACTGGGACAAGGATGGGAGACTAAACCCTGGGAGAACTGTGTTTGGCAAAAGCTAAACTGGTGACAGAGAATGCCAGTTTTTTCCTCCCCATCTGGCGAGAGCCTACCTACAGTTAGCAAATTTTCCAGCTCTCTGCCAGCTGAGGAGGGGCAGGTCTGCTTGGCAGGTGGTGAGTGAATAAGATGACATTGGTGTAACCACAGGAAGAAAGAGGAACCTGAGCTCCCTACCCCCAACTCAAGCATCCTGACTTCATCATGGTGATCCAGGAAGGAGGACACTGAATCTGGGAGCCTCCAGGTCCTGGTGTAACCTGTTCAAGCTCTTCTCACTTTGCTGTTCAGGGTTAGACTTACTCAAAACTGTAGCCTGTGAATCCTGCTTACTTCTCTCTCCTGCATCCCCTCCCCACCCCTCCCCCTGGAATTTACTCCCAGGAAGGAATTGTTCCCTCGAAACTAGAGACCAGTGACTGACGTCTGCTGAAACTAGGAAGAGAGTGCTAGTGGAATTCCAGCACCTTAGTTTTTCTCTCCATTCAGAACTCTTATATTTGATGTTTCTCTTCAGTTTCTTTGTAATGGGGACGCGTCTTGATCTCCAGCCTCCTTTCAGTTTGGTGTAGAGCTGCTGCCATTTAACAAATAGTTTATTCATTTAAAGTAGGTTAATCCACAGGGCCTCCCTAGTGGCGCAAGGGGTTAAGCACAGCACTGTGAAGCTATCCACAGTCTCTGCAGCATCCCCGGCCTGTCAGGGAGCTACCCACATAGCTCAGCAGACCTCTTCTGTCTCACCCACTGCTCCCCTCAGCAGTGTATTTCAGTACATCCTTCTGTTCTGCTTTCCACTCTGTCTCTGGTGAAATCCTCTCACCCCCTCAACTCTGGCCTGTACCCCAGTTCTTGTATGCATAAATAAATCTTAATAGAGCTTGGGTTTTACACCTGCTAGCACTGAGGAGAGAATGTGGGGCTTTCTAACGACAGCTTCCTTTTCAGAAAGGGTCTGATGGCCACTCAAATGTAATTGTGGGAGAGGCTTTGCCCTTGTGAAGGGAGTGTGGGAAGCAGAGTGAGTGGACGCAGTGGGGGGTGGTTTCCAGGCATTGAAAACTCAGAGTTCATCTGCCTGTGACTCCCTGATAAGCAGAGTTTCTGTCCCAAGTCCGCCTGTTGTTTGTTTCGAAACATGGGGGTGGGACAGGAGGAAGCAGCTGGCTGGCAGGAAGTTTGATGCCAGCTCCTGGAGTGAGCCCTGGTCTGGGGGAGAAGGGCGGGTTAGGGGGGTGGGGGTGGGGGAGGGAGGAGCCTAGCAGGTAGAACTGGAAATTCTGCTGCGGGCAGGAGGCAGCTCAGAGTGAGCACTCTCTCTCGCTGCCATTACCACTTTCGGCTCAAGGCTGTGCCAGGTGACCTACGTCTCTGGAAGTGCAGCCAAGGGTGGCTGATTAGACCTAGCCCCGCCTGCTGGGTTCACAAAACCCTTGCCCACGCATTCCTTATCTGGCCCTCCTTAACCTCCAGGAGTGAGTCAGTCTGCAGAGAGTGGTGGAGGGAAGGGCAATCTGGATGCAAGTCCTAGGTCCAGGTTCTCATTGTATTGCAATGTCAAATTTATTTGTTAACCCAGTTGACGTTGGTGTTTATTATGTACTGAGCTCTGTGCTGGAGATTTAGAGGTAAAAAATAATACCAGCTTTGAGGGGGCCAGAGGTACTGGTAACACTTAGCTTACATTAGGTAAACCCAGCAAGCTGTCATGGTTGCTGGTGGCTTTTGGAGGCTTGCTCTCATCCTCCCTTAAAGCTGGAGGTTCCTATGAGACTCATATGCCTAGAAAGGAAGTTGGGTGAATATGTAGAGAAACCCAGAGAGCTTCCCTCCTTTTCCTTCCTTAAAAAAAAAAAAAAAAAGAATTCAAACAAACTAATGGCATGAAAGCAGCTTTTGGAAAATTCCAATAATTAACAGGATGCATAGGGAAAACAAAGTTTTCTTTCTTTCTTTTTTTTTTAAGATTTATTTATTTATTTATACAAGCACTGGGTACAGTCAGAAGCGCGGGAGGGCGAGCAAATTCACCAGAGCCAGAGCGGGGAGCAAAGTACACTGCTGAGGGGAGCAGCAGGCTGCAGCAGGAGAGGTCTGCGCTCCCCTCCTCCGGTTGCCAGGGAGCAGCCGGAATCGAACCGGCATCGAACCGGCGGGCCGCGGGCAGCGCTCAACGGCTGCTCCACGGGGGAGGCCACAAAGTTTTCTTTAGAAAAGCAGTAGAAAGAAGAAGCTGTTGTAGGTTTGATCTGATAGAAGGAGTGGTTGGTGGTGGGTTCTGTTTTGTGTCTGGAGGTCTCCACCCTCTGATCACCTTCTCATCTCAATTGCTTCTTTTTTTAAAAAGATTTATTATTTTATGCATACAAGAACTGGGGTGTAAGCCAGAAGTGTGGGAGGTGAGAGAATTCATCAGAGACAGAGTAGGGAGCAGAACAGACAGATGTACTGAAATACACTGCTGAGGGGAGCAGCGCATGAGATAGGAGAGG